TGCTATCTAACTGCAAATCGACTGCCAAATGGCAGTTGAGATGCAGTTTGAATGTAGCTGGCTCGACTGCACTGAAACTGCCGTCGATGACAACTGCATTCAAACTGTATCTCGATTGCCATTTGGCAGTTGGAATGCAGTCCATCTGTTTAGTCCTGTTTACTATTAAGGTACGAAATCTCGTGGCTGTGATTATGATGTTACACTTTTATTAATAAGTACATACCTATTATATAGATGCAAAATCATGCGACTGATTTTACTAGAAGTAAGAACTTAAACAATGTATCAGTACATACTTTAAATCTAATAAGCGGAGATACATATTAGTAGTAAATGTTGAACCTTTAGTAGAGGTACTAGAACAGCAATAAAAAATATAAGTTGAATAGCGTTATTTTATTTAAAATGTTTTTAATTATACAGTGTGTATGAGAGGTATGAAATACAACTCCTTTTTATGTTCTATACATACTAATTTCAATTTAACGTTTTCCAGCTTCACCGTTACCTCAATGCGCTCATTTTCTGGCATTTTAGCTTTAAAAATATTAAAGTTTGATGATTTAACGGGGTGATCAAAAACTTCTCTCAGCCCTGTTATTAAATACCCGTTAATTGTTAGATTTTCTTCTTTTACTTCTTTCAATTCAAAAATATCGTTAGTATGTGTCATGAAATACTTATCTTGTGGCTTCTTTGAAAGGCAAAAGTACTGGAAATAAATCTTAGTATGTTTGTTATAAGTTTTCTTTATGAATGGGCCCTTGTATTGGTTTTTTGTTTTCAAATCATCACCAAGTTTTTCAAAGTTCTCACTTAGTCTTTTTGCTACTTGAGGAAGTGGTTTCTTACCACCTCGCAACATTTTTTTAATTAAATATAATTTGTTTTCAAAAGGATATGCACTGAAAGTTTGCAGCGGGCCATATCTTTCCACCTCTTCAACAACGTGGAGTAAATTGTGAACATTACTCGTAATATAATCTACCCCATAAAAATCTTTGTAATGTTGAACAAAATACTGGAGCAACTCTTTTGCTAATGGCAAAAAATGCAAGTATTCCTTGCTGGAACATATCGTTATTGCGCAATATAAAAACAGAAAATGCACGAATGCATCCCGTGGTAGCACATCTGGCAGTATAATGATGCTCAGGTAAAACAAAAAACTTCTATATTCAGAAGCTTTCCAGTGGACAAGACAATCTATACCTCTGACCGATCTATGTATCTCAGACGGAAGTTTACATTTGAGTAAAAAAATCATTACCACATCTATGTTTCTTGAACACCATTTTGTAACAAATTTTCCCAAATTGCCATCTCGCCAACCAATTAGCAATCTCTTCATGACACCCAAGTCTATGAGATGTAAACAATCTGCCACTGGAAAATCGTTTACCATGTCTATTGGGAGCTGTAAAAGTGGAGAGTCAGACTTGTGATGAGCACCATACTGTTTACCTCTGAACCCATCGTTTGTTCTAGCAGAAGACGTTACTTGCGGAAAATATACAGTGTGTGAGTTGTGGGAGTACTCTCCAACAGTATTACATTTTAGGCAGCCATGTTTCCCATTGAAGTTACACACACCTGTAAAATAAACAAAAGAATAATTAATAAAATAATTAATTTATGTGATACAATGAGCAACAGCTGTCAAAATTTCCATTAATTACGGACCAAGCCAATTGGAAAGCGCAGTATGTGTGTTATATTCTCAGGGGTTTTCGGCTATTCTTTAAATTTATTAATTCTTACGTACACTATATATGCAAACGACTGAAAGAACTACAGATAAGAAAAAAAAATTATTTACCTTTTATGTAGGCTCTTGCAGGGGAATCGCAAACAAAGCATCTTATCCTGATCGTTACTGTTTTGTTGCAATTACTAAGATAGATTCCATTATCTAATAAGTATTTCATTTCCGTTACAAATTTCTCCAAATATTTTTCAAGGCTTTTAGGTTTTCCGATTCCACAATATATTCCAATTACAAATGGTTCTAAGATAAGATCTTCTAAGATATTACATAAAATGGGCCAAAATTCTTTTTTAGAACTTTTGTATATAGGAAGGCCATCAAAGTTGATGTTTAAATTTATAATATCTGGTACATTCACCCACTTTTCCAAACATATTTGAAGAGAATCTGTAAGTCCATTATGCCAATATTCACCATCAAGTTGGATTTCTACTATACTAATACTTCTGGGAGTACGTAGAAGCGTTCTAGGATCATTTGGTAAAGTATTGGGAAATCTACTATTTATTATTTTTGACAAATCTTTTAACGCTGCTTGAGCAATATTTTTTTCTATGGCCCATTTTCTTATTTGTTCACGAAATAGAATATCGTTCGAAAACTTGCTTTCTTCAGCGTCTTCATCAGTGTCACTGTCTGAACTTCTATAAAAGGATGGAGTATGAATTTCATTATTTTCTGTAATGTTTGAATATCTAGAACCCTCGTTGAAAACTAAAACTCGCTCTTGTCTCTGGCTGAAATACGGTAGATCACTACAATTTTCAGGAGGATTGTCATTTGGTATGCTAACAATATTTTTTAAGAATACGGAACCATTACCGCTATTCGTTGAATCACTCTCTTCACTGAATTCTTGACATGGCATGGATACTGACGTTGATGGGCCAAGCTGATCAAAATTTTGGTTATTTTCGCAAGTTTTATACTTGGAATATTGTTTTGAGAGTTTTCTCTTAATCCCACCACTTCGTTTTCTCTTTTTCCAAGGTTTTATGTCCATTTTACTAACACCAATCGATGCACTACTGTTCCTTTAGTGAAATGACCTAATCTGCTACAGGAGTAAAATTAAGCCGTTAGAATTATAAAACTCTTGAGTAATTCTAATAAACCGCCTCAAGCTGCATTAAAGCTTTTAGTAGAACTTTAAAGCTTTTGGCTTTAAAGAAGAACTCGTTAGAAGTTTAGTAGATATAAAAACATTTTTTTATTCTCCTTTGCAAACATAAGCGTGTTAAGAGTTCCCAAAACGACCATTGTCAAGCTTACTTGAATAGCATTTAAAGAGAATAAACCTACTCTTTTAAACAACCTTTTGGTGCAAACTGTTGTACAGCCAACGTCTGCACAAGAGCTTATAAGTTACCTAATTAACCAAACATATACAAGCTTAAGGTTTTTTTACAAGTTAAGAGAATAAGTTGCAACCAGCGGCTGGACAGTAACTTTTTAATTAACTGTTATAATGCTAAGAGTATATTGTTGCTCTTTATTGCAGCTCTTAATCAGCAAGACTGTACAAAACTAGAAAAAATCACTCTTGCACAGTCTTCAGCTTCACCTTTATATATCTCTAGTGGAGTGTTATTCTGGTTAAAAGCTTACTTATTTCTGAAAATTCAGCCTGTGTGCTACTTGGGTTGAAGTTATACTTTCTTTATTTATAAGAAGTGTTTCTAATTATATGACTAATACTGCATATAATTTGTATTATTTTATTTATATTTTCTGAATTTCATTTTAAAACCTTTCTCTTTAATACCCCGCTAGAAAGGTTATAAGCAAATTTTATTTCAAGGTGTTTCATTTTCGTACCATATAATATCGTATATTTGACGCATGAAACAAGTTTTTAAATAAAATGGGCTATCAAAGTGAAGGGTTTTAAAAGACCGATTTTTTAATTTGAATATACAAAGTTTTACTTACACAATTACGACAAATCAAATGATACCTCGCAAGTCAAGTCATTCTGGCTGTAGGGCGTACCCACGGAGCTCCATGGGCGTACCAAAGAAACATACATACAATCGAAAAACGTTACCCTCCGCAATCGAGTAAAAAGTAGATTTCGCCAGCTTGGATCACAAAATTACTATCGTATTCATAAACATTCTCAAAAATATGAATAATACAAATATTATTATTAAGTCCAGTCAATGAAAGTAAAAATCAGCTACAACCTTCGATTTCGTTGAACCTCCATCGGTTTTCATGAAAATTGGTGAGTAGGTAAGGCATACCGTAAGAGACAAAAGTGTCAAAGTGCCAACTTGCGCTTTTGCCCTGGGGGTAGATGCAACCCCTTCTCGGGAGGGGGGGGGGGGACCACGGCCCTAGTGGTCGCGTCGATTTCTTTCTAGCATTCCTAAGGCTGCAAGGCAGCGCCATCTCTTTCGCATAGTAGATAACACACAGTGTCAAACAAAATACCTACTTAACAAGTATTTAACAAGTGCTAAATATTTGGAAGAAGAAATAGCAATTGTAGTTATAAGCATTTATATTTTTTAATTTGCGGCATTGATTTAAAAATAGAAATTAACTACTATTGCTATATATTTTTCACCCTACTTAGATAGTAAAAATAAAACTACATTTTCAACTATTTAATGTTTATTCAACAATATTGAAATGTACACTGCTTCTTTTGATGGAGCATATAGCATAGAGACGACATTTCGCAAAAAAAATGCCTCAGGTCATTACAGTCATTACACGAATAGGTAGATCTAGGTTAGGCATGGACTAACTTTTCCTTAACGTGCCAATATTTCCTACAGCTCAGCAGCAGCGTAAATACGCCCCTGACTCACAGGCCCCGAGTGTAAATAAGTAGGTTTGGCAGCGGGGTGGTCCTTGTTGGAACATGTAAAAAATGGTACTTTGTGGTTCTACCTTTGATTACCGGAGATGGCTTGAGGGCCGTAGACCGTATCCCTGCTCTAGGTGTCACACGCGATCATTTGATACTTTTGATAGGTAGTAATTATAATCCCACGGATATTTACATATTTGCTCCGTGGGTGGGTGATAGGATAGGTACCCGATGTTTTATTTTGACATTTAACCAAAAAAATGCATTAAACATTTTCATTTTGAATTAAGTATAGGCCTCTTCTCAATTCATTTATCGTGGATTTTATAAATAAACTAGTTTTAAATCCAATTAACTTTTGTGATACAATATACCTGATAGACAATTTAATTTAAAAATATTTTTTCAAAAAAGAACGACTAATATTTTTTTTATTTGTAAGGGTACTTCATACAGGTCGTTAAATTATTATGCGTAACATGGCGTAAGTTAGTTATAATACCTATAAAGAGTACTTAAATTTTACGTATTGTACGTACTAAAATTTTGGACCACAGAATATTTATGTGTTCGGGACAAAGTTAATGTCGTTGATTTTGGACGATATTCCTCACGGGTGGACCGCGCGCCAATCGACGATGACGTGACGTGAGACGTGACAGTAAAATTATAGCATACTAGTGGCCCGCCCTCGCTTCGCTTCGGTGTACTGCTGTAGTGTAGGTAAACTATAGTTTTTGTTCTCAGGCTTGTATTTTGTATTATACACAATGAATTTCTTTATACCTTCCTTGAAAATTTATTTAACTGTGAAAATTTTGTTGTGTACTTTAGGACCCGTTGTACCGAATGCACGATTTTTTGGTTGAACGCGCAAATCTCGGGAACTAATCGTCCGATTTGAGAAAAACTTTTTGTGTTAGAGAGTTCATTTATTGAGTTAAAACTACATATATATAAATCATCACGCTGCAACCAGTAGGAGCTGATCATCAATGTAACATGTTGCAAAAACGGGTAAAAATATTCCATTTGTGAGCTTCCTTTGCGTGCGCTGCGTAAATGATTAAAGTTACACAAAAATCCTGTATGGCGGAATTTTTGCCCTTTAAAAGTTCTATAAAAAGTCCACGACACCATATGCCCATCTTTTAAACTTGGCTCACTAACCTTTTTCCTCAAATCAATGCGGGTGAAACCGCAGGGGACCTTTACTTGTGACATAACACATATTATGGTATCGCGGACTTTTTTTGTAGTTATTGATGACCTCTATAGAACATTAGTACCTCACTTTGCTCTACTGTCATTGCTTCCGCAGCGTAAGCGATGTAAGGTTATTTTTTGTTATTTTTTTCACATCCTGCGTTACGTTTTCGAAGCTTTCATACGGAACCCTAACTTTAAAAAAATATCTATAGCCTATGTTCATCAGGGATAATGTAGGATTCTGAACGTGAAAGCATTTTTCTAATCGGTCCAGTAGTTTCCGAGCCTATTCAATACAAACAAACAAATATCAAATCTTTCCTCTTTATAATATTAGTATAGATATCCCACTTATTTATTGGTATTTAGTATTTACGTTAAAGCATACCTATGCGGACTTATCTATTTGGTGACCGCGGAGACATTTTGTAAACTTAGCTTAAAACAAACATGTTTATGGTAGTTACATGTTACACGTAGATCTGACTGAAGCTATGACATGATTTTCTAACATTATCCAAAAATAGCCAAAACCGGATACCGGTCGCACTTTATAATAAATCGTAGAATTGCGAAAAGTATAATTATGTACGGCCGCACCCAGTCACACACACCGCAGTAAGTAAATACAGATCCAGATGCGCACGACTTTGATATCGATAAATAAATAATGTAGGTACCTAATCTAAACAAATATTTTTAGTGCGAAGTGAACCACTGTAGGTAAACGAATAGATTTAATGCCCGTGACTCTAGTTAAACAATATTTTCAGTAGTTATAAAATATTGTATTTACAAAAATCACTGTTTGTATTGCAATACAAATATATTGGTATTTGTATCTGATATATTGGTTTAGATAACAAAAGTTTAAACCGGTTATTCCTACTCGACTACCGTACGGTTGCCAATAGCATCTGGCCGTTTTTAAAGAGACGAGAGTTCGAGACAGCCTGAATTTCATTCGAGCGAGACTGATTTTTGTATGCGTTTGGAAAATATCGATACACCATATTCTAATCAATTTTATTAGTTAACAATGTATACATGTGAGTCAGTTTTCTACTCTTATCATTTGGACGAACTGTGTGACAGAGGGAGTGCTAAACTAGCTCGTTTCGCTTCTTGGAGCTTAATACCAATGGTTCATTCGCCGAACAATATTTTCTGCTATATTAGTGGGGGACAAGGAAAACACGTACCTACAGCACATTAACAAAAATATGCAATACGCGCACAAACACGAGCTTGTTGTTGCTATAATGCTCTTTTTCGCTTCAAATATCCAGGAAACGATTATTTGTGTGCGTGGACGAACAATGACTTCATACCATATTCAAGGAGGTATGATGTACATACCTATTCTTTAACGTGGTAGTTGGTGGCAAAATAGGAATTTTCTGAAAATTACATTTGTCAGCAGAAAAAAGTAGGTAAGTTCTGAAATATTCCAATACTATCAATTTTAATTAATGTATTCTTTCAAACAATATATACCACCGGTGCCATCAAAATGGCGATTGGTTTTAACTGACTGGCACTACAAACTGCAAATATGGCAGATAATTATTGCTGCAAATATTACATTACTGGGATCAAATAGGTACCTAGAGAAGTTGTAATAATAGTGCCAAACTTCTGACGCGGACAGTCCATTATATCTAAAAGCTATTACTTAGTATGTAAGTAGCTACGACGTCAAATGACACCACTATACTAACATACAGATAGCTAATAAATTTTCTTTGCCCATACATCCCAAAAATGTTGCAAATATTTCTTTATTAAATTACAACCAATACCTACATAAAAGTAAATAAAAATAAAAGAAAAGTACGAGTAAGTACACATTTTACTTTCTTAAAAATGAAATGTCGTGTAATCCAGACGGTTTGTATAAAGTAATTGTTATAATGTGTTTAGTGGTAAATTCTGTAAAATATATGTTTTTCAAAATTTACTAGTTAAACTACAAAAGCTTCGAGCGCCAACATAGATAGTGCGGCAATGCTGGCGACAACCGGAACGGTAACAACCCACGCGAATATTATGTTCCTGTAATAAAAAAATACACATTAATATTGTAAAATTTCTTATCAAAACAGGATTCCTGTTGCTCGGGCAAGGGTTTTAAATACAAATAGAATACATGATCTCTTGAGAAGGAGGGCCCTAACAAGGGTTGCCACCCGTACTTTATTATAAAGTATTGTACGTTATTTCGGGTAATTGTACTCTATACTTTATGCTAACAATAAAGTACGCAAAAATACTTTATTCAATGTGATTTGAATATTTCGGGCTTAATTTTTCATAAAATATACAAAAAGAAGATAGGAAGAATTTTTGCGTAAAACGGAACAACAGTATGTATAATATGTCGCCCTTAGCTCATTCCTACAACATTGTTGCAGCTGTATGGCTTTATACAATGGCCTTTCCCATTGCGGATAAGAACTACAGATTTTTAGTAGCCACAAATTATTTATAAAAAGTTGCTGTAAGCAACGTAAAATATATTTTAATAATAAAGTTAAAAAAGGTGGCAACCCTAGCCCTAACCCACCCCTGGAGAATCCAGTCCAAATTTGTGGGTGCATTTCTATGTACAGAAGTAGTTGAGATCAACAAGTTAACGTATCCGCCGAAGCACTTTTCACCAATTTAGTGACCGGCTATATAACTAAAGATACTGAACTTCCACACTAAATGCTCTACAATAACCATTGCAAGCGCGATCGAGCAATGATCATTTAAAGAGTTGAGAGAGATCGTGAAATTTGTATATATCAGATTGTTCTTAAAGAATAATAATATTCTTTATTGACAAACACCTCATAGGACATACATTAAACATGACAGTGAAAACATAGACAATAGGCGGCCTTATTGCTAAACAGCAATCTCTTCCAGGCAACCCATGACAGTGAAATAAATAAATAAGAGGAACAAGGAGGGGTGTAAAATAAATAATGAATAGTAGATGCAATAAATATATCCAAAGAGAGAGACAAGAGAGAGGTAAGATTTATAGTTGGGAAAGGATATAACCTCTAACTTGATCACTAAACGAGCTTAGAGTGCCTTTCGGATTGTTTCAGGTAGTGAGTTCCACAAACGAACAGAATGCACACAGAAGGAATATGAAAAGAAATCAGTTGAAAGGAGTGGGACTGCAAGGATTAGATTTGAAGAGGACCGCAAAGTGCGTTCTGATTTGGAATCAAGAAACGAGAAACATTCTTTTAGATAGGGCGGAGAAGTAGGAAGGAAAAGTACAGAATAGAGAACCGTAAGAGTGTGTAAGTCCCTGCGTCGGCGAATAGGGAGCCATTTTAGTTTGTATCGAAAGTAAGACACATGGTCATATTTACGTAGATTAAAAATGAATCTGATACACATATTCTGCAGACATTCCAGCTTGTTTAGGAGTTCCTCAGATATGTTAGTTAACAAACATCAGCGTAGTCGATAATGGAAAGCAAAAGTGTCTGAGCCAAAGTGACCTTTGTACTTGTTGGTAAAAAATCACGCAACCGGTTTAGTGAATTGAATACTATGTCGTCTTCATAGGTACTCAGAGCAACAACTATAATCGTCACGTTAAATCCGCCGATTCAAAATGCTTGTTTACATTTTACAAAAATAAGACGATCTGACCTGAAGAGGCTCCAATCGACGGCTTTCTCCGAGAAGTATCCAACACAGACGACGGATCCCACCTTGCAGTGCGTGGTGGACACCGGCAATCCCGCTTTGCTGGCTACCAGCACCGTCAAAGCCGCGCCCAGCTCAATGGTGAACCCACTAATGGAAACATTAAGGCATAAAGAAAAACTTACGAGCATTTTACTTGACATCGAAAAGAAAGTTCAATTCTAGAAACAGATTTACGAGGTACCAACGGCTTGTAGAGTAACAGTGTGGTAACGGTAAAGAGCACAACAGAGTAACTATGAAAAGGGAATTTCTAGCAATTTAATTTCTTTATAAAGAAAAATGTATGCTTGTAATGTTCTTAGAAATCTTCTAGACTGCTCCAAATTAGATATTTGTTTTTGTCGTGTTCGTTATTGTGACAAAAAGGTTTTGCCTAAAGAGAGTTTTTGTTTTGTGATGCTGGTGAGGTCCTCGCTCACGGTGCGAATGACGCGGCGGCCCCACAGCCCCATGGCGATGCCCACGCCGTAGAACACGAGCATGGCGAGCAAGTACAGTGACCACACCATGTCTATATTTCGTGTGGCACACTCACGTGTCCGGCGTGATGCTGGTGAGGTCTTCGCCCACGGTACGTATGACGTGGCAGCCCCACAGTCATAGCCCCATGGCGATGCCTACGCCGATGAACACGAGGATGCCGAGCGAGTACAATGACGACACCGCCACATCATGTATATGTTCCGTGCGGCACACTCACGTGTCCGGCGTGATGCTGGTGAGGTCCTCGCCCACGGTACGTATGACGCGGCGGCCCCACAGCCACAGCCCCATGGCGATGCCCACGCCGCCGAACACGAGGATAGCGAGTGGCGTCTCCGCGCGTGCGTGCGCACCGCCTTCCGAGTACAGCAGCCACAACGCCACCAGAGGACCTATTGCATTACTGTCAAAAACACAATGATGAGTTTGGGTGTTTTCCCACTCCCCGACGGCAACAGTCAGAAGCGCTCTGCTGTAGTAACCAACGTGACCTAACAAATGTGTCTCTCCCAACTATCTATGAAATGAAAGGGATGGCGTTAATGTAACATAACAAATATCATATATTTTCCAACTATGAAATAGTGAAATGTACTTAATTAGGTATTGTTATGAGTAACTTTCTGTGTTTATTTATTTATAACTATGACGGCATCTATCTACATGCTCCCAATTTTGCGTAAGTACCTGACATCGTTCCCTCCATGCGCGAACGCTCCGAACGTGGCAGTGAGCACTTGCAAGAAGGAGAACAGCTTCAGCGTGTCCGGCGGGGGCGGAACGGGCGCGGGCGGCGGTGGACTCACGGCGCGGAGTAACGGCGCCGCGCTCGAGTTGGGTGTGATGGCGGCCAGGCGGGAGTGGACGTCGCATTCTATCGACCACGCGCTGCCTTCTGCACCCTGGACCGACAAACTAGCATTTTTACCAGAAGAAAGTTTACGCAGATCCCTTTCTCTATGGATGGAATGGGGAAAATGGATCTATCGCACTCTGCAGCAATATTGCAGTGGAGACTGACGGCGCCGAGTAACGGCGCCACGCACGAGTTGTGCATGATGGCGGCCAGGCGGGAGGGGACGTCGCACCCTATCGAACACGCGCCTTCTGCACCCTGGATAACAAACTATCACTTTTACCAGAAGAAAGTTTGCGCAGTCATGACATCGCTTACTCTGTGCATGGAATGGGGAGAATGGACCCGACCCGCTATGCCAGCCCAGACCTATGCTAACGACTCCAAATGTAGCAGCGGCGCCGCTCTCGAGTTGGGCATGATGGCCGCCAGGCGGGAGTGGTCTCGCACTCTATAGACCACGCGCTGCCCTGCACCCTGGAAAAACCATTTTTTTAAATACGCTTCGTTATGGGACACCACTCCTTTGCTTCACTTCGCACCTCTAAATCCGGCCCTGCGCAAGATGAAGTATAATTATAGGAAGTAACGAAACACTGAAATCGCAAATTGGAAATAGGGCTAGCTTCCAGCATCAGCATATCAATGTCCCCAATGTTCTTACTTTCGAATGGAATATTGAAACCGGATCTGACCCAATAAGCGGACCCTAAGGTAAGACCCTATGGTAAGAATTGGGAGAACCGATCAATCCTACTATGTGGGATTAGTGCGATAGGACTGACGGCACGTAGCAGTGGCGCGCCGTGCTCAAGATGTGCGTGTCAACGGCCAGGCGATTCCTCCACTCGCACTGTATCGATATCACTTTCACCAGAAGGAGAATATACGCAGTCTCTCGACATACGAATTAGTGATGGCTAAGCAAGGGAAGCCCAATCATCCTTCACATATTCTAATTTTGTACCATACTATGTTGGATTTCTACACCACAGAAAATGAGTAACACAGAAACACATTACGTTTAGTAAATTTTACAAATTTTAACAATTAGTAAAGCACTTCACATGATATATGGTAGTGATTCTCACCTTATCTGTTCTCGGAGGAGGTGTCTCGAACTCTACTGTGGCAGGGATGGCTCTGGCAGCCGCCAGTTTGTCGAATTCACTCCTTGCTATCGTATCACACGAGCCGCCGATAAAACCGTTCCTCGAATCGTAGCTCTCTCCCATGCCGGCTAGTTGTGATGAATCCAAACTTTTACAGAAACTGATGGTTTCGTCTATGTACTTGAGAGTGTTGATCTGGGGGTCGGCATCGATCAGCTGAAGTCTTGACTTGTTGGGGGGGCTCAGACTTCTGGAGAGTATGCTGCAGTCGTCCATTGTGGCAAGCAGGACTCGATTCCTAGCGTTCATCTCTCTCACTCCGACCGAAACCCTGTCAGCATCGCTTAGCGTCACCATTTCAGCAGTCTCGGCGATTGCTTCAAGTACTTTCCCGTCTTCAGAGAGGAGGGACGTTGGACGTTGGGGTGGATTTTTGTTTGAATGCGTTGGCGTATTGGCAGGCGTGGTCTCTGAAAATTAAATAACACTTTGTTGATCATTATTATATGCTTATCATCAGTTAATAATGCTATTTCAATAAATGAAAGTTTAGCATACATATGTTTTTGGAACTTTTAGACAACAACTAATAATATTGAAAGTGGGTACCCATAGAAGCATCTCTCTTACCGTTTGATAACCCTAGTGTGAAGTTTACTGGTGGCGGTGAGAGTTTTTTGCGATAATAGGGAACTAAGAATGCGCGTACACAGCCTGCTAATATTGCGCCTAATGCCACTGATGCACCAACAGCGGCCCATAGAGGTATGTTATCCATCGCCAATACTGAAAACAATAAAAAAGTGCTTGCTTAATTTTTTGTAGTTAACAATCTGTGTCCAGTCAGCATTATTAGTAGAGCCGATGAATGATAAATATGTGACTGGAGTTGAGTTGAGGACCTGCTACAAAAATAAATGGGCATAGGGTGAAGTTCATCGTAAGCATGCTCAAATTTTCGAGCTTGTTGCTAAGTTCATTAATATAATATATCAATACCACGGGGCTCAAGGGGCGTTACCGCCAATTTCCGTTACTCCAAAATTCACTAGGTTCAAAAGGCGTAACGTAGGACATTTTGGCAATTATTATTGTATGCCTATTATATGTAGTTTAGCTCATGCTTGTAGAGTGTACTAAGTATAAAAATAAGACAATGTTACTATTGCAAAAACATAATATAAACTTGTTTGGTGTAGGGTGTTCTCAAAAATATTAGCAGATCCGCAGTCGGTAGTATTCCAAAGCCTTATATATATTTTTTGCAACATTGAATCTTCGTAGTTTTATAATCATTTTGCAATTAATAATGTTAGGACATGATTGGGCTGGCATATCCTTCATATTAGGTAAAAGCCTCTAAATAAATGAGATTGAAAAAAAACTTGAATATTAAGATTTTTTCTAGAAAGTCATTTTAGAAGACAAATGAAATGTCATTTAGTTAGAAGTTCATTATTCAAATAATATCGATAGATCATTAATGCCAAGGATAGATGCCTCGGGGCTCAAAGGGCGTAACCGTTATTTTGGTGTGAATCGGCCCTAAACATTCGTTTTTAAGTTTTGTTCCGATCACTCCACTGATTTCCGGCGCTAATTGTTTATACCACAGTTTACAAGCTCAGGTTACATTAAAAGAACCTTGGACTCACACTTAGGCCCATCGTGCACCACACTGAGCACATTTATAGCGAAGGTAGCGCCGTAAAAGAACGGCAGCGCCCGTAGCCCCACAGTGAGCGGTTGCGGTGCGCGAAGGATGAAACGACGCACCAACCAGTACAGCAACGCCGACACCGTGCCACTGAGCGCCGGCGAGATGAACCATGATGCGACTGCAACAGAAATTCATTATGATCACTATAGGGGCCAGGAGGAGCTCGATGGCGCAGGTGGTTAGCGCGTTCGGCTGCGATCGTTGAAATTAAGCAACTTTCGCAGTGGTCGGTCATTAGATGGGTGACCAAAAATCTTCTATCTCAAGTTCCTCCATGCTTCGGAAGGCACATTAAGAGCCCTTTTACAAAATTGCGCCACTGCCGTAGTGATCGGCGCGAAAGTAGATTTGCACTAGTATATATTGCATTTCACGGGTGATGTTTCGAGTCTTTTAAAATAATTATTAATGAACTAATTATAAAATTATATACATATTTCAGTAGTTCAATGATGGTAGATTAGTTTTATAAAAGTTTTTGAAAGTAATTGTATTTAATTCAATATCAAAATACGAGGTAAACATGCACTATTTTTTGGGAAAACTCACGGAGGTTAGATGTTTGTTTTGATAATTAATGAGATGGAAAATAAAAATTCTAATACAATATGTTACAACAAAAACATATTTCTGATGTCGTAGTAATTAATTTAATTTAATTTATTGAACATTATTGAGAGATTGAGGCGTTTGAAGTTGTGCATATTATCGTTTTTTCCGTAAACTAGCTGCAGTAGAACGATCAGTACAAAAAAGGAAAAATAGTATTTGCAAATATTCTACATTATGTTACAATAGGAAGAATAAATCTACTGTTTACTTTTATTGGAAATAGTCAAAATCTTTTCTAAGGGAGTAAAGGAGGCGCTACGATTTTATGCAAAAAATGTGAAAGGGCTCTTAAGCCGTTGGTCCAAGCTGTATCTGCAGTCGTTAGCACAACACAACACACAGCCGCCAATCTGCACTGGGCCCGCGTGGTGAGTCAAGGCCCAATCTCCCTATTCCATCCATAGGGAACACCTGTGCCCCAGCAGTGGGGACATAAATAGGTTGATGATGATAATGACTATAGGGATAACAAAACAGGGAGAAAAAAATAGCCCTTGCAGCGTTACTTGCCGGTTCTTCTCAGTACAAGGTCTCCCGCTGACGAACCGATGGCATAACGTTCGACTTTCACAAGAGCTTGTAACAGCCTAGACAGAATAAATTAGTTTGAATTCAATTCAATTTTGAAAGTCTCTCTTTGTTCAAATTGGAAGCATAATACAACTCTTGTGAGACGTCCAAATTATTTTTCCCCTTCCACATGTAAATGACATTTTTAACAGATTGGAGGAGAACGGGCAAAGAAATCTTCAAAGCTTTAATCGTTATTTATGATAGAAGTGCGGTAAGTTGATTATTACAAACGAGTAGACGAATGTAAGCCCTAGAGGAAGTCTCAGGTTTACCCATGTCACGTGTTTGTAAAAACCAAAGTATGTAGTGCAACATTATTCAACACATTTGTGAGAAGATTACCTATTTTAAGCAACGAAGAAAACTTTTTCTAATAAGCAAATGGCGCGCATTTCCAATTGGCGTCACATTACTAAAGTGAGACAAAGGAAAATATTAAAAGCGCTTCCAATGAGGTTCGCCGGAAAAAAAAACCACTGCGTCATGTATGGGAACGTGCGATAAAAAAAATTACCGCACGCTCCGTTATATGGCCCGTAATTATAAACAATGTAGGCAACCTCCGTAAACACATTTTTTTCAGCAAATTTGTTAAAAAAAATAGAGTTAGGACACACAGATTTTCTATTTCCATAGCCTGTAGGTAGGTACCATGACTTTCTCTCGTCCTAGCGAATTGTCAATTTCATGCGAGTATAGCTCAGTTTACGTTTGGTACTAACCAATAGCTCCAAGAGTAAACGTTCGCACGCCCACCGGGCAGTGAGCGTAAAGCCCACCGCTGGCCCCACTACAGAATGGGTCCCTGACCAGCCATGTCGTGCTCGCTTTAAGAGCCGACAAGCTGCCCGCCGCTAGTAAATGCTCCCCACCGACCGTTGGCAGAGATAACCACCTTCATGGCTTATACCTTTTTTTTTACGACCTCCGTGGTCGAGTGGTTTGTACATATTTGGTTTCATGTAGCCGACTCGAGAGATCCCGGGTTCGAATCCCGGTGGGGGCAGATGTTTGTGTGTTGAATACGAGCAATTGTACTCCAGTCATGGATGCATAATATGTATTTCTATATAAATATACTTATATATGTACAATATTATGTATTCTATCCGTTACCCTAGCATCCCATAACACAAGCCTTATAGTGCTTACTTTGGGGCTAGGATAATTGGTAAGTGTTGTAATTATTTATTATACTATAGTTCTCTCTTTCCAGCAAATTATCAATTTCATGCGAGTGTCACTCAGTTATGGTGTAGTACTAACCAATAGCTCCAAGAGTAGACCATCGCACGCCCACCGGGCCCTTTGCAGTGAGCGTAAAGCCCACTGTAGCTCCCACTACAGAATGGGTCCCTGACACTGGCAGTCGCAGTGCTGTTGCCAGGATCAGCCACGTCGCGCCCGCTATGAGAGCCGACAAGCAGCCCGCTGCTAGTAGATGCTCCCCACCGTCCGCGTACAGAGAAACATCCAAAATACCCTTGCGCATCGTGTCCGATACTTTGTAACCTGGAATGAAAAAAAAACTTGTCAAAACTAAGCTACAAATTCGTTGTGTTGCTATATTATAGTTGCCTTGCATCTCTGATAGTTTTTTTTTATTATAAGTAGGTACTGTAACGTGGTAACGCCCGTTGTGTTACGGCCTCTTTGCTTGTTTAAACTCTTTGTTTATGTAATGCCTACGGCTGGCAGTTATATTAAAAAGTCTTGTCTTTATTTTAAAGAATTGAAATTAGGAATCTTCTGTCTTTTGATAGAAGGTTCCAGCAGATAGAATTCAGGCACAAACTCCAATAGTAAATAATACGGATTTTATGCAATAAATTCAGAAATATTAAATAACAAAATATTTCGTGATTATTATTTCGCAAACCGTAGCAGTGCTACGCTCCCAGGCCTATCCTTCAGGATAGACCGCTACAGTACCTATCTTTTATGTGCTGGTAGACCCTACTATTAGTTCCATACATTTCATTCATTTTCATTACAGAACGGAATGCAATGACCACGTGGGCGACAAAAATCGAAGCGGTGCGTGTTGGACGTGTTGGGTAACCTGTAGGTACCCTAATGACATTAAAACTCTCCTATATTTTCAAAAAACAAGCGGAGTATTTTTTAGAACTAACTAACAGGTAATAGAAAATAGACATAGGTACCTATAGGTACATACGAAAAAGTACCAGAATGTTGATTATTGGAAAGTGAACAGTAAAGTAATGGCCATCGTACACACGTGTCTCGCCTCCCACGCTTTCCTAATTTGACAACAATGTCTGATCAACACAGTCTGTACCTTCACAAGGTACTTCTTAGATACTTAGCAAAAAATATTTTTCGTATTACCTTCATAGTTGGCCCCTTTTGAGGAGTGGAGAAGTTAAAAATTGTCGGGGATTTCCAATGCCAATAATTTCTTAATGCATTTACGATCCATGTAACTTAGTGGTTACCAGTTTTTATCGGTGTGTCACCATCACCATGTGGTTTTGGTCTCCATTCGGGTACTTCCTACTGTCCTATCCTACTAATCCCCTCTATCCTAACCTATCTTACTTCCAACCAATATTATCATGGAATTTCTGTTCTGTAAATATTATAAATGAGAAAGTTGGTTTAAATGTTTATTATTCTTTCACGCACAAATTTTGATACGCATATACTTAATATATGACCTGGATTGAGACGTAGGATACTTTTATACCGGATTCTAAATGTTAGGTTCCTGTGGAATTTTCAAATAAAAATAAAGTTAACACGAACGAAGTTGCGGGCGGCGCTTGCATATAATAAAGTGGAAAGCTTTGTATTTCTGTATGTTTTTCTATTTCATACATATAAATTAAAAATTAAGTAATTTTGAAATCGGGCACTTACTCCCTAAGTAACATAGCATATATTTTAACGCGGTTCACCCGTGTGAAGTCGGCGCTGATTGCTAGTAAAGGACAATGTTAAATTTGGCCTAAGAACCAACATCAATTTGGCATTTATGATAATTCTTAGTATATTTTTTGCGATAATTATCAGTATTTAGATTGTGACGGACACTTCCAGTTAAGTAAGCTATATTAAAAAGTTAAAAAATAATCTGAGACTACCATTTTATGTGTATAATCTATGACAGCGAAGCAAACAAAACACTTTCTTCCTAATGCCGGCACTTCACTTGGCTATTCGTGTTTGCTTTTTGAAAACTTGACATCAGTCTGTACTTTTTATTCCAAATTAAGCATAACAAGGATAGACTGTTGTCAAGTGAAGGGCCGACATAAAACTCGATACTCTGTGGTTGTGGTGCAGGCAGTTTGCATTCGTAGTAATCTGTAGCATTCGTGCATTCTCGTTTCGGATTACCTGTTGTTTATTTGCGATTGTTTTTCCGTTAATATAACTATTTCGGCAATCTTATATGCCATCGATGTAACCAAATAGCAGAGACTTTATTACCAAGTGCTTGAGAACCTGGTCCACAACATCCTGAGAGGATCATACTGCCAAATTACTCAAGAGCAGCTGATACACGTTCACGCTGCATTTTTACACAATATACTTGTGATATTCAAATAAATACAATATACAATATGATACAATTATTTGAAAAATAGTTAAAAAATAAGAAGCAAAACTACAGTTTTTATTTTATTCATGATTCCTACCTAACCAAGTTTTTCCTAATAGTTATTCTTTAAAATCGCACCGAATAGAATGAAATAGTTGCAATGCAATGAATTGAATTAACAATTCATACTAAGTTCAAAGGTTGACCTATGTTTTATTTAATATTAAACATAACCTCAAAACCTCGTTTTCCTGATAATTGAAGTTCTCAGAAGTGTCCGTCAATAATCTTTGTTTTTACAGTCATTTACTTGCAATTTCGAACCTAGAAATTAATATTTCATGATTGTTGGTTCTTAGGCTAACAATGTATGGACGCAGAACAATGTCCTTTAAATTTAATGTAAGTAGATATAATTTAAGACTCACCAATCAAAACAGCACCAGCAATTTCAAAGATGGTAGCCAATATGCACGCCTGTGTGAGAGTGAGCACCTTGGATCCAACGCTGGTGCCGAAGGAGTTGGCCACATCGTTGGCGCCAATTCCAAAGGCCAACACAAAAGCCACCAAAAAACCACATACCACCAGCCAAAACAAGTCGTCAGAATAAGGCTCCATATTTTTAACTCAATAATTTACTGTCCTAAATTAAAATGCATTGTTTCTCCATTGCATGTGTAAATATTAACGGTTCATTAATTGGTATCTTTAAAACCGCTCTTTAAAACTTTAGTAATATAACAGTAAGCTTGGCTTTTACAACACTATTTACGTAACAACAATCCTTAACCCTTTTCTCCTGTTTAGGAGACTGTCGAAACACAGTATCGCTCCATATAAAAATAGCTATTCGGTACTTTTAGTAAGTAGATAGATAATAGACAAATATCTAGACTTAATATAATACCGACAATAATTACGTTTCAAAAAGTAATAGTTATCTAATTTAAATATTTAATTCAAAATATTATGAAGTAGGTTCTTATTAATTTAATTCAAAGGTTTAATTAATTAAATGCTGTGCGTCACAATGTTGTATATTTAAAAAATTTTTCGATGCGGTTATGCGGTTTGTTTAATTTTGGCTTCATCATTTCTGCAAGAGAGAGAAAAAAATATCCCTTAGAATTCACGGTCATGAAAATGCTTTTTTTCCTTACCTACATTTTTTTTAATGTTGTATCAAATAATGAAAAGATAAAAATCATAGTACCTAACCACATGGTCTGAAATGTATCGATTTGCCGACGCCATTAGCAAAATACGCGGTTAAAATTCGACGACCGCCGATATGAACCTCCAGAAATATTCATTTAACCCCATGGAAAAGTCAATAACAAATTGACAATACAAACTCGTCTTATCACTAATTAATCATCCGCGTACTCCGCGTCATGCTCTATAATAGCCTTTCTTGCGGTTATTTTTAATGAGAGCATGTGTAAGTTTTTTCCTCAAAAATAGATTTTAGCTGGAGAAACCACTAATATTTGCTATATAGTTAATAGAACGATTACTTACTTATGTCCTGTATAGGATTTTATGGTCCTAACTTTTCCTCGCGGAGAAGAAGCACGAGCTACTAGTCGCCTTGAGCCTGACAACTGTAGACTGAAGTCACGGTGGGACGTGTAAAGGTGTCCAGCGCACAAAGCATGCGCAAACCAGGAGGGCACCCCACTCCCTGCTACCCCCTTTACGTCGCTGGGCACAATAAAAATGTTTGTTCCATACCAAAGGACCCTAATTCGTTATAAAACCGGCTTCACAAAGTATACTTTACAAAAGCTTATAATAATTTCCATTTACAATTAAATCATATAAAAGTCTTAAAATAAAAATTATGTACTCGTTTTCAATATAAGTGTCTTATTTGAACACTTTCATTACGTAGGGTATAGGACTGAAATATTATTTAAATAAAACTACAACATCAACAAAAGTGAACTATTTTTTTTTAAGCGGATAATTATCTTCCAATATTTTTATACCACCAGTCATATAATATGTAGGAGGCCCCTCAACTTTGTTTAGCAGTTTAAATCTTGAGACATATTGTGTAATCAGTAGGATTTGGAAAGAAAGAAGGAATCTTGCTATACGAATCTTGCCATATTGCGTATCTTGGAAAAGCAATATGTAGACAAGGCATTTTTCACGTAGTTCTGAAAAAGTTATAATAACTTTATTCAAATTGCTGTACCTACTGCCAAGCCTTTTATACTGCTTGCCTTATGGTAACAACTATAATAAGACCACTAAAAATAAAGAAGCAATTATTTTTACTTTTACTGAAATATAAATCTTTACCAATACTAATAAAGTTTGTAATCTCTGGATCTACTGAACCGATTTTTTAAATTCTTTTACTAATAAGAAAAGCCCAGTTGTTTATTTGTGAGTGTCATAAATGCTATACCTATAAGAATAAAAACTATAGTCTACAGTTTTACACCGAAGCGAAGCAACGGGCGGCGCGGGCCACCAGTTAACAATATTTCCATCGTATATCCTTATTTTCATCCTTATGCTATGCCACGGCACCGAATTAAAATTTTATTTATTTATCTTACTTTTAGATTGAAATAAAAAATTGCAATTGTTTCCTAATTTTTAGTGGTTTTGTTTATTTAAAGAGTACTAGCTCGATGGCGCAAGTGGTTAGCGCGTTCGGCTGCGATCGTTGAACTTAAGCAACTTTCGCAGTGGTCGGTCATTGGATGGGTGACCAAATAGAAATTTCTATCTCGAGCTCCTCCGTGCTTCGGAAGGCACGTTAAGCCGTTGGTCCCGGCTGCATCTGCAGTCGTTAGCACCCACCAATCCGCACTGGGCCCGCGTGGTGGGTCATGGCCCAATCTCCCTATTCCATCCATAGGGAAGGCCTGTGCCCCAGCAGTGGGGACATTAATAGGCTGATGATGATGATGAATAGTCGGTTTCTCTATTTGATATCTTTTTTTATAAGATTTTTGTAGTGAAACTTCTTTAGGCACGCTTGACTTGGGGGGTAAACTAGCGAATGTGTTACGATTTTGTCGTTACGATTAGTGTCATCAGTGACTCATCGGTAAACAATGAAAAATACCCGCCACAAAACACATGAATCTAGTGCTTGGTGGGTGCTAACGGACCCCGCGCGGATTGGTGGATGCAGTGGCGCGCGGACTAAGCTCGTCAGAGGCCCGGGGCGGCAAAATGAGGCCCCCCAGTTTTGAAGAAAAAATGTAGTTTCTTAGTGTGTTTCGGTAAAATTTGGCGAATGAAATTTAAATTCCAATTAAATCATTTAAGCTTAAAAACATACATACCTACAATATCGTACATATTGACTAGAAACGTAGGTGCATATTGATTAGAAACTACGGATTATGATTTCTAGGCTAAATTATACGAAGAATTACTTACTTTTTCCAAATACTTAAAAATGCACTAACTCAAATCTAAAGTCATTTACTTTTATACCGCAACAAAAATCAAAAGCACTATTACACTATTTAATGAGGTTACTTTGAACGGATTTTAAATGAGGCCAATGTTTATTTTTCGACGTAAATATAGTGAATGTTATTAAATGTAGGCGTATAAGGCCGTATACAGAAAGAAAGCCGAAAGCCGATCGGCCAGCGCGTGTCGGCGCTTATCGGCGCCGGTCCATAGAAAAAGGATCAGCGCCCATTGGCCGTATACAGAAAGAAAGCCGAAAGCCGATCGGCGCTTATCGGCGCCTATTGGCGCTGATCCTTTTTCTATGGACCGGCGCCGATCAGCGCTGATCGGCGCCGGTAAGCGCCGATAACCACCGACACGCGCTGGTCCGAATAATAAATAATTTGTATTTGAATTATTATCCTTAGATTAAATCAATCTAAGTTATAATCTTTTTATAAATCTAATAACTTTATCTTTTATTAACTAAGCGCTAAAATTATTTGTTTCGTACTTACCGAATGGTGACAACAAGTCTTTCTTCTGGAAGGATTGGTTGTTTATGCCAGCTATACTCTAAGTGTGTTCCGCGGAACCCTAGGGTTCCGTGATACCTCTGTCGGGGTTCCGCAAGAATTTAGAAATAAAAAAATCAAAACACCTCTCTCTGGTCGCTCCGCGGCTGTGCGGACTCCGCGGCCGCGCGGAGACAAAACGCTATGAATGTTATTTATTTATTTATTTGTATTTGTATAAGCTTGTGTTACATTAGCTGGTACAATATCTCATAAGTTTGGTCTCAACAATTTTATACTTGTACAACGCGTTCGCTCTAAGTTTGCCGGTCTGTGGAATGCGCGTACCCTCCCCCACGTGACAACAAAACTTATAATGTGTCATAGTTTTACCCAAATATCTAACGTACACAATTTTTATTGTTACAATTAAATAAAAAATTTCGAACGTCATACACTCATACCTATCGCCAGCGGCAAACTTAAAACGAGCGGGTAGTATACTTGTAAGCGCTCAGTCTCTTTGATAAAAGCCGCCTCTGAATTAGACGCTATAGTTGTCAACTAGCGACTTTCGTCTCTAACTTCAAAGGATAAAGTCGATATTGTTTACAACGCTATTTTTAAATTTCTGTTTTTATTTTTGCTTTTTGTTTATCAAAGGTGCCGACTCGAGTATTTTCGAGAATATTTGAGATCGAGTCTAGGACTAAGTATAAAAGCGGCGATCGCGCGTTGGCGTCGTCAGTTGATGATTAGCGTTCGGAGCGATAAGTTACTACCTACTTACAAGCTCGCTAGCGAGAAACTGGTGTTCATTGTTTTACTGCCTGCTGTATTCTGTTGTCTCAGTTTTATACATTTCTTCCCTGTAGGTTCTAAATTTAGTCTCTTATACGCAGTAACGATTGTGCATTATTTAAACCCCACTATCCTGACTTGTAACATTATAAATAAAGAAGAATGGAACGTTGGCTTAAAGGTGTTAAACGTGTTCCAACAACATCTTCTAATGACGCTGAATGTTCAAAAGCAATGCGCGCGGAGAATTTAGCAATCACCGATCCAGAAGATGATGCCACGAGTGCCACGACGTCAAGCTCGACGGTTTCAAAGACGAAAAAAAGGAAGTATGATGAATCTTATTTTGTTGATTCCAACGGCTCACCTCTCTGCATGCTCTGTAGTAAACTGCTTCCTAATAGTTCCATGGCACCTGCCAAATTGCGTCGACATTTAGAAACCGTACACCCCGAGACTAAAGACAAGAATAAAGAATTTTTTGTTCGCAAAAAAGATCAGTTATTAGAAAGTCAAAAAAATATGATGCATGTAACACAAACTACCAACGAAAAGGCCACGGAGGCATCATACTTAGTTAGCTATCGCATTGCACAAGCAGGTGAAGCGCACACTATCGCTGAGAAATTAATAAAACCATGTGTATTAGACATAACAAAATGTATGCTTGATGAAAAATCTGCAAAGCATCTTTCTACTGTTCCGCTATCAAACGATACTGTTTCACGACGAATCCATGATCTGGCAAGCTACGTCAAACAAGAACTAGTTACACGTCTACAAAATACACGATTCGCTTTGCAAATGGACGAGTCGACTGATGTCGCTGGTTTGGCTATCCTGCTGGTTATTGTGAGATATCCATATAAAAGTTCTTTTGAAGAAGACATGCTTATGTGTTCATCGCTGCTTACAAACACTACCGGGGAAGAAATTTTTAATAAAATAAATATATTTTTTGAAGAACATAATCTCAGTTGGAACAATTGCATTGACATTTGTACAGATGGGGCCAAGGCGATGACAGGTAAAACAGCAGGAGCAGTGTCACGAATGAAAAATAAAGCGCCTAATTGTAGTTCCAGTCATTGTATTCTGCATAGACAAGCACTTGCGATGAAGCAAATGCCGTCTAATCTAAAATTAGTTATGGATGAAGCGGTAAAAATAATTAATTTTATCAAATCACGACCACTACAATCCCGATTGTTCTCATTATTGTGTGAAGATTATGGCAGCAAACATAAAACACTGCTGCTCCATACAGAAGTGCGATGGCTGTCTCGGGGAAAAACTTTAACAAGGCTATTTGAACTTAGAGCCGAGTTACAAATGTTTCTTTCAGCAGATACTTCTTTTAATTTGAAGGACCGTTTGTATGATAAAACTTGGTTGTTCCGATTGTCTTTTATGGCGGATATCTTTCAAAAACTTAACGAATTAAATTTATCATTGCAAGGTAAACAGACAACAGTGTTTCAGGCCTATAATAAAATAACTACTTTTAAAAGAAAATTAGATTTTTGGATCATTTGCATTGGTAAGAAAGAAATAGAAAGTTTTACGTTACTCACTGAGTTTGTTAGCGAAAACGACTCAGAAATGTTTGAAGATAATGTGTTTGAAGAATTGGTCCAATATCTCAGTTCGATGCGCGCATCTTTTGAAAAGTATTTTCCCGAAGAACACAATACAAAAATTAAAGTGAACTCCTGGATTCATAATCCTTTTTTACCCAACTTGGAAAAGCCTGAAAACATGTCAAATGAGATATATGAATCTCTTTTAGAAATGTCATCAGACACAAGTATGGAGTCATTGTTCAAAACGACGCCTCTTAATGATTTTTGGTGCAGAATCCAAGATGAATATGCAATGCTTGGCCAAATGGCTCTGGATATTCTTCTCCCGTTCCCAACTACATATTTGTGCGAAACAGGATTCTCTACCTACGCAGCCACGAAAACAAAATATCGCAATAGACTGGACGCCGAAGCTGATATGAGACTCCAACTTTCTTCCATCAAACCTGATATCAAGCAATTGATGAAAAATAAAAAACAGTTTCATACCTCCCACTAGTTAGATTTTTTCTTTTTTAATGTTTTCTATTATTGTCCTTACCAAGTGGTGAAGTAAATAATAATTAGTAACGGATACATTGTACTTTTATTATGCTGATTAATATAGAATACACTTATAAAAATAATTGTTTTATTGTAGGGTTCCATCAAGTATTTTGCTTCCCAAAAGGGTTCCGTCATTTAAAAAGTTTGAGAACCACTGGTTTATGCCAATTGCCCCAATTTTTCATCAAACGGTTTTTCACTAAATCCAAAATGTAATAAAATGTTTCTTGAATCATTCTTGTATATGTATAAAATCTTTGTTCATCAAATTTAATTTTTTTTACAATTAAATGATGGTATTCTCCGAAACGTTTCCTTTCTCTATTTATAGGATGTATAGCTGTTTTTCGCATTTTTAAATAAACATTTTCTAACAAAACCAAATCATCGTCCGATGAGTCCGACATTTTGCTTGATCTGCTTTAACCGGCTTCCTTTATGTAGGAAGGATCGGCTTTCGGCTTTCTTTCTGTATACGGCCTAAATTATTTGTACTTCATTCATTCAGGGGTACCTGAGGAAGTACCTGCTACAGAGACGGGAATTCCCCCAGCGTATTGGACGCGTTCAGCGAAGTTAAAAGAATATTAGTACCGCGTAAAATGTCTAGATGGCTGTAGTGTTTTGATCTTGATGAAATTATGTAGGTACTAAGCACATTTTTAAAGTCTAATTTAGGATGCGATCAGGGGAACGCGGAGGCATTTGGGGGCCCCCAAAATCGGAGGCCCAGGGCGGGCCGCTCCTTCCGCCCCCCTGTTAGTCCGCCACTGGGTGGATGATAACGGACCCAGAGCTTTGTGGGTGATTACGGACCCAGTACGGATTGGTGGGTAATAACGGACTCAGCGCGGATTGGTGGGTGATAACGGACCCAGTTCGGAATAGTGGGTGTTAATGGACCCAGTGCTTGGTGGGTAATTAAGGACCCAGTGCGGATTAGTGAGTGATAACGGAACCAGCGCGGCTTGGTGGGTGATAATGGACCCAGTGCGGATTGGAGGGTGATAACGGATTGGTGTTTTTTTTTTATATCAACAAATCTTCTGATTAAGTCATGATTTTCAGATCATTGGAGCTAAAGAAGTTTCACTTCAGTGATCAGTCGTGTGGTCATAAGCACACACGCTTTTTTATTATTTCTCCCTTTTAGTGTTATCTATGTGATTTATCTAAGTAACATTAACCGAATATCAACTGCTAATCATTTTCAACAAAATATTACTGCTCTCCATTCGGGACGGGTACCAACGCTATCACTCGCGCCGTTGTCTACCCTGAGACAATACCATATCCCGTGGCGTCCTGGAACCGTACCTACTCACCGACAGAAACACAACACCACCACCAAAAGGTAGTCTTATTTTCCTGTGGTCTTCTGTAAGGTGGAGGTTACTTCCTCTGAGGAGCTCGATGGCGCAAGTGGTTAGCGTGTTCGACTGCAATCGTCGAAGTTAGGCAACTTTCGCACTTGTCTATCATTGGATGAGTGACCAAAAGTTTACTATCCCAAGCTTCTCCGAATTTCGGAAGGCATGTTAAGCTGTTGGTCGCGGCTGCATCTGCAGTCATTAACACCCACCAATCCGCACTGGGCCCGTGGTGGATTACGGCCCAATCTCCCTATTCCATCTATAAGGGAAGGTCCGTAAGGAAGGTCTGTGTCCTAGCAGTGGGGACATTAATAGGCTGATGATGATGATGAGGTAAGGCTTTATTAATAAAATATCAAAATTATAGAATATTTCGTATTTTAAATATATAATAAATATAATTGATTGACTACTTAAAACAGAAATTGTTACTAAAAAAAATATGTAAGTTGCAAGTATTGCGATTCGTACAAATTAATGTAGCAAAATGACTGCGATAACATAGCACAAACCAATCTAACAAAGTACTTAGTTTAACGCGTCAAAAATATAAAGCATATTATGTGCGTTTGATTTTTAGGCAGTGGCCTTAGGGACTACAATAAAAAAAACGATTTATAGAGTTCATGACCTCTCCGAATTTTATTTAGGTCATAGGATGGACGCATTTTGCTATTTTACAAAAACAATACAACAACTGCCAGCTTTAGTGTGCATGGCTGAGTTAAAGATATTAAGTTATGAATGACAATTTAAAAGGAGGAAAAACAAATAAAAACATTGTTATGGCCTCTAAAGTGATGTTATTTTGAGTTAGAAGTGAGAAATTTATTTTCATATTTAAATAATTTATCTAGCAATGTGAATCAATACATTTCGTTCCTGATGCTCATTCAAAAGAAGAAAAAAAAGAAAACAAAATTTAATCTTAAAGCTAAGGCTGCGTGGACTTAGTTTATTTTGATCTCCTATTGAAAAGACAACAAAAAAAGTTTGACAGACAGTGACACAGACAGAAAACTGACAGTTGACACTTCAAACGAAAAATTTTATGCAATTTTATGTCATTCCCCCGTAACATGACTAAATTTGAAATTTTGCCTCGAATTTTGTAATATCAACTCTATCTGCTTTAAACTAATTTCATTGGAAATATAAAATGTAACATAAGGAAAACAGATCAGCCATTAAAAATTTTTTAACATGTTCTTCAGAAATGTTTGGGCTGCTGCGGAGTTGACAAATAGTTGGTAAGGATTTCTTTCCAAAATATTGAATTAAATGATAGCAAAAACTTTGATTGGAACTAATTATCACCAATATAATTAATGTATTGCGACACCAATTTTACCATTACCATTTCTCGACAGTATTATATTCATATCAAAATACGTTGTGCAATGTTTCAGCAAGTCAATATTGTTGAACCAATGTCGCAGCTCACGGGGCCAAGTTCATCTACAGTGTCGGACTGCATTTCAAAACACACGGCGCGGTGGACGGCGAGTCACGAAATCAGACCCCCTTGAACATTTACATATAGAGTCTGGACCTCTCAATGCTAAAGGATTGGTTAAACCACTCCTTTTTGCAGTAGGAGTAAGTACCTAACCACCAAAAAGTTGTGTACATAAGTTTCCATTCAACCTCTAACATTTGCCTTTTGGTTGAAAATTTTACTAGTCATTATTAGTAATATGTTATTGACAAGATTGCTATCATGTACCTTGGTTTTTATGAACAATATACATATAGTCATTATTTTGCAGACACATGCTCAAAAATTTAGGAGTCTTTTATAGAACAAATTGTTAAGTTTCTATTAGATAATGTGAGTTCTTCTATAATGTGTCCGAAAATACTTAGATAAATTGTTAAAAAATAATCTATATGAAAAATGGCCTCTGGTAATTAGGTTACCCTATTGAAAATATATTGTCTCGTTTATTGAAGAATCATTTTATATGGTTTATTTCTATAATCTCTTTCTCCATTTCTATAATCATTTGAACATAAATACTATCGCTTTCAGGTATCTACAGTTAGTCTGGCGGGTTGTGTTATTTGGGAATATGAAAATCTAAGAGTCCACACATCAACATTATTCAGGAAACCAGGGACTTGGTTAAGTGCACAACAGAAAAAAGTTACAACACACTTTGTAAGAACTTTTGTAACTAAGTCCACCAAACACAATCCATAATGGTTTTTTTTTTTTGAGAAAACAAACCTTATTCAATTAGTAGTTTATATGGAATGTTTACATGTTTTTAAAATTATTTAATTGCAGAAAAATGAACCAGGACCTATAAAGAAATGGTGGAACTCCTTAAAACAAAGTGAAAAAGTGTTTTATCCAATTTTGGCTGCAAATGTCTTGGTATTTGGAGCTTGGCGAGTGAGGGCTCTACAACCAATGATGGTTAAATACTTCTGTTCAAATCCCTCAGGTAGTAAGTATCACCAATTCATCATCATAACAGCTTATTAATAAAAATGAAAAGATGATTGTTTTTTCATTAATATCCCCACTCAGTGCACATTGGGGCCTTTCCTATGGATAGAATAGTGAGACTGGGCTGTGACCCACCACGCTGGCCTAGTGCGGATTGGTGGGTTCTAACAGCTGCAGATGCAGCTGAGATCAACGGCTAAACATGCCTCCCGAAGCATGGAGTAGCTAGTGATAATTAGTTTTTGATCACCCATCCTATGACTGACCATTGAGGAAGTTGCTTAAGTTTCACAATAGCAGGCCAAATGCTCTAAACACCTGAGCAATTGGCTCCTCAGTAAGTATAAGATTGTTGTATTGGGTATTGATTTCAGCAATCTCAAAATAGTAACTGTAAAATAATTATCTTATTTCAGGTGCAATATGTCTACCAATGCTGCTGTCCACATTTAGTCACTATTCAGCTTTCCATTTAGCAGCTAATATGTATGTCTTATATAGTTTTATGCCAGGTAATAATAATATATCTTTTTATCCAGCCAACTTAATTAATTTTATTAATTTATATCCCCACTGCAAGCATTTAATTTTCTTATGGACTTGTCATGATATTAATAACAATGAAATTTTCACACACCATCTTAAACCTAAGACGCGTTTTTTTATACTTTCATACATATCTCTTAAGCTTTGAATCCTACAGCCTCCATTCTCAAGAGAATAGTTAGTTCTTTAACACATCGAAACCCTGTTTTATTTCATTCCTAGTTTTTATAAATAATCACTCCATTATTATGTATGACATTGAGGATTGAGGCATTTATTCATGCTGTAAAAAAACTTAATTTTATTGCAAGAGTAAGTAGGTTTGAATTAGTACATAGTCATATTTGACATGAGACTTTACACTCCCGCAAACTTTGAGCAAAGGAACATAGACAAGGAACCTGCACAGTAGCAATTTTACAAATAGAAACGTCTACTGCGCAACTTTATTTGTCTGTAATTTTGCTCAAAAAGTTTACCGTTACCTATACCAGAAGCATGCTTCCTTAGGAGATAAGAATTTTTGTCCTTATAATAGTAATAGTTCAATGATGCAATTATATTCTTCTTCTTACACAGCTGCCGTAGCATCATTAGGCAAGGAACAATTTGTGGCCATGTATCTCAGTGCTGGTGTCATAAGCAGTTTTGCCAGCTTTATGTACAAGGTCGCATTTAACCAGCCTGGCCTCAGTCTCGGTGCTGTAAGTAGTTCACATTTCCCTATAAATTTATGCAGATAAATAAGTTTGGCTGTTGCTGTATGCTTTTTGTGTTCTTATGTACAAATGTTTGTACCAATATTTTATTTCATATCCAACTTCTTTTTGAGAAACATTAACTGACTATTGGTTTGAGTCAGTTCCATTGTAAATGTAATAATTAGACAGTGTTACCAACTCTCAAAAATATTTATCCCTAATTTTTTTGTCAAAAACCCCTAAAATCGCCTTAATTATTGAGATGTCCCCCTAAACATATATAAATATAAATTAGAATAAAAAAATCGAAACAACAATAGTCGTAAGAATATTCTTAACCTATTTTTTTGGCGGTATCCTAACCTTTCTGACATAAGCTAATGTCACAACAATAACCGCCATATTAACAGACAATAATATGACCGCCAGTGGCGCCGGTATTGCCGCCAGTCACCACGGAGTGGTTGTTGAATTACGTACTAGATGTTGTTACAAGTCGCTAGGTCAACAATTAAATATTAATATTATCAATTTCAGGAGCTCTGAGGAGGAGCTCGATGGCGCAGTTGGTTAGCGCGTTCGGCTGCGATGGTTGAAGTTAAGCAACTTTCGCAGTGGTCGGTCATTGGATGGGTGACCAAAAACTTCTATCTCGAGTTCCTCCGTGCTTCGGAAGGCACGTTAAGCCGTTGGTCCCGGCTGCATCTGCAGTCGTTAGCACCCGCCAATCCGCATTGGGCCCGCGTGGCTGGTCATGGCCCAATCTCCCTATTCCATCCATAGGGAAGGCCTGTGCCCCAGCAGTGGGGACATTAATAGGCTGATGATGATGATGATGATTATCAATTTAAAAATATTAAAGAGTAAAAAATCCCTGAAAATACCCCTAAAAATTTCAGACCCCTAAAAAATCCCATCTCACTTATTTCCCCCTAAATCTGGGGGGGAAACCCCTAAGTTGGGAACCGTGTAATTAGAGATGGGCCGACTATAGTATTTGCCGACTAACCGACTAATCGGTTTTCGAATTACCGACTATTCTGCAATGCCGATCATTCTAACACCTATCTTAAGATGTTCGGAATATTTCCTTACTACTGGGCCTACTCACGCGCGACACGAGTCTCCCAAAACGAGCCGAAATATTCATGTTCCAACATCACAATTTGCCTCTAAAGAAAACAAAAATTACCTATGGACTTTAAGACTTGCTAGCACTTAAGATTTCACTCAATTAATACGTACTTACTTCCTACTGCTATTTTGTTATGTGCGACATTCATTGTGTTAATTTATCTGAATTACTGACAGATTCTTAAATTCCCAATTCTTATTATTAGATTTGCAACGAATAGTATATTCGGCAGTATACCGAATATTCAGGGAGGCCCAGGACCGAATAGCCGAATATTAGGCAAAAGTATTCGGCTGGATTTTAGCGCCAAAAACTTGTACAGACGTGATTGTTTCGCGCTCTTTTGTTTTGTTCTAATGTACCTACTCATCGCCCGCGCGCCCGCTGTTGTTCTGATCTTCTCTTAAATATCAGTAATATATCACGTCATGACAACCCGTATACATGGTGGCAAGCAAGGAAATTTGAATTTCCGTGTTTGATTAAGATTGCAGCAATAGTATATTTCATTACTAGTATGGAATGGTTGTCATTGCAAAGAGTTCCGACAAATCTCTACCCGAGCCGAAGGCGAGGGTTGACAGTCGGAACGAGTTGCAATGACGGTTCCGTACGTGTACTGAACGACTATTTTTAATACAGTTGCGAAAAAATGAAGCAATTTAATCAAATTATAAAAACACAATAAACTCAATTAACTAATCATTTATTTCTTATAAAAGTTATAATTCACATATACATTGAAATTGGTACAGTTTTTTATACTAACTGGGGAAGTTTTACGTTGCATATTTACTGTTTGAGACAAACTATTATTAATTTCGTTTGATTGTTCATGTATATTTGTCATACAATGGCGTTTGCTAGTTGATGGAATTGGATCTGATGAATTATCATTATCAACGAAGGTACTCATAGATGGACGAACGTTCTCTTCAGCATGTGAAGGAGACGGACTGGACCTTAAATTAATGGATTGTGTGATCTTTTTCCCAGTTTCTAGTTTGTTGTTTAATGAATCACCAATATAGCTTTCTGCAACTTTGTCCGATTTCCAACCACCTAGTCGCTTTAAGGACGTCAAATTGGCTCCTGAATCTGCCAATAATGTAGCAGAGGTCCTTCTGAAGCTGTGCCCAGTATAACACTCAGCATCCGGCAGACCAAGAAACGTAGCTATTTCTTTTGGCATATTACCAAATTTGTTTATGCCGATTACTTGAGCTGTACACTTCCCTTTTTGGAAATTTTGAAAAAAAAAACGGTTGGATTTTCCTTTTTGGGACCGCTGGTTCATATATTTTTTCACTATTGTGAGAAAATCTCCTTCAACAACAAAGCTTCGCGGTATCTTATTTTTTGTGTTTGGAATCTTGATAAGTAGCATTTCTCCATGGGCTTCAATATCTTTTTAAGTAATATTGGCTAACTCCTCTCTGTGGCAAGCTCCAACAACGCCAAAAATCAGAGCAACCTAAAAAAAACGATTTGATTCATATAAATAATGTATTGACTGTATTTTGCGATTTTGTAAACTGAACACTAAAGAAAAATGTAGATATGTATACTTATTAATAAATTACCTTTGTGGCTAAATAACAATCATCGGGAGCTTCTTTCAAAAACCTTTCCACGTCATTCGATGTTAATATTTTCGACTTTTTACTGGTAAACCCGTCTGATTGTCGTTTTAAGAAAGAATTTAATTTTGGATATTGACTTATATCCACGTTGTTCCTTATTTTCAGCATACTTTTTATCATCGAAAACCTTGACCATAACGTAGAAGGTTTTAATTTTGCTGAGAGTTCGGAAAAGTATGCCAACATAACATTTTCTGAAAAACTATTTGCTTTTTTCTCTTCTTTCCACGCAATAAATTCATCGTATGTAGATATGTAGCGAATTTTTGACTTTTCCGGTAAAATGTTCTCCGAAGCATTTTGTGCAATTATACTGAGTTCCGGTCACGGAGGAAAAACAAAGAGGAGGTGTGGTGATTAAATTTTCTCAAGAAACGACGCGTGATAATTTGCGGGATGCGGGGTGTTCAGCTCCGCCCACTTCTCAATATTTCATCTATCGGCTAATAGCAAAACTAGCTTAGGTTGATATTTATGTTACTACGTAGTAGTTCGGCTATCTAACACTAGATGTTCAAAAGTTTTGTATATAATGGGACGTACTCAGAACTTGAAGCTTCCAAAAAATGAAATATGTAGGTAAATAAATAAAATAAACGTTAACAAATTTGACCGATTTTAAAATTTTTAAGGTATAATTTTTATTATTTTAAAACATGTAACTGCTTGATGAAAAAAAATCCAGGCAGACCAGGCAGCAGACGGGACTCGAAACCGCACCCGCTCCCGTCTGCTGCCTGGTCCGCGTGGGTATTTTTCTAGTTATATTTTCTTTAGATTTAAATTTTAAGGTAGTTTAAAAATAATAGACAAAATGTTATTACAAACATAATTTTATTAAAAAAATGGTTGCCTGTAAAGTCGGTTTTACGGGCGAAGATTTTACGTGACAACGTCTTTTTCTCGGTAGAATATTTATTGATATGAATATAATTAAATTGCACAATAGGAACAAGGAATTGAATGAAAATAAGAATTGCACAAATTTTAACTATAGAAATATATTTTGTTTACTAAAACATTGTACATGTAAACTTAAACTTAACACGAGAGACTCATCGTAACGTTACCGAGCGTTACACTTTTTCATAAGTGACTCCCAGCCGCAACCTAATTTAAGACGTTGTCACGTCAAAAACATCAATTACCTGTAACTAATAGTTTTGGTTAGTTGTGGTCGGTTGGTTGCCGTATCGTTTTGTATTGTGGCAAAATGCTTAAAACGAATATCAATATATTTTTCTGCAATCGATTTCATCAGAAATACAACATGATTAACTGTAGGTGATTGGTCGAACATATGGTTGGCCGATTTTTTGAAACAATCTTGTCCAATAAGTGATTTTAATGTATTCGATACAATTTTATGTTTACGAAAGTTAGGAGTATTCAAAGATTGCGATTTAACACAACGAATACTGCCTTCGGTCCGTATACATATTTTTATGACATCTCTAGATGGGAAAGTAAGACCACCCTTATTTTTAGTTTTTATCAAATCAAGATCACTATCGTCGTAGTTATCAGCATATAATTCTTTGAGACAGCTCTCACATTTGATCTTGGAATGTAAATATTTGACCACATACCCAGAAATATATGCTACTATTTGATGGCGCAAATAGTCACCTATAGTTGTATTTAATTGTTCATCAAATTCCAATAACATATCGTCAGGCATAGGCTCGACATCCGTGCTATCCGAAGACTCGAAACTCATTTTATTTAAAATGCGATAACGTTCTGATGTAATATTAATTTTTTGCACAGAAGATTCATTTAAAATGGAAATATCTTCTTCTTCTATGGTGTCCAATCCGGTCTATTAAGTTTTGAAATCCATTGCTGTTTTAAATTATCGTTGGATGGAAATCTAAAACGAACATAAAAATAATTAAAATTTATTTACTTGGTAAATAATTTAATACGTATTACGGCCCTGGATATTTGTAACGTTTAAAAAGTTATTCTATATGACGACAGATGGCGGCCAGTTATTAATATATTGATAAAATTACTGTTTTAGATACTAAAAGTTATTTAGGAATAAGTGTATAACAGTTTTCAGTATTTACGTATGATTATTACAATATACTACTGCAAAATTATACGTAAACTTGTGTATTTTCTTCCTAAAAGTGTCGCCATCTGGTGTCAAGTAGTAGAATTTTAACGCTGAAAGCTGAGGCTGAGAATGTTCTAGAACTTATATATTTAATTACGTATAAAATTACTTACAAATGAAATGTGATGCCATCCATATTATCAGAACGTCTGTCTGAGTAACTTTGACATAGTAAAACACAAAAATTCATCCTTTTCTTGTTAAAAACGCAAAAAAACACTTATAATGCGAGTCTCGTTAAGTGTGCACCTGACGAACGCTGAAAGCATACTGACTTAGGCCCCGCCCACAATGATGACGTCAGGACCTAGTTGAAAATCACAGTGCACATTTGCTTAGGCCAGCTCCTCTTTGTTTTTCCTCCGTGGTTCCGGTGGAGTTAATTCAAAAAAATTTAGGTCGAAATTACTCATTTTGTGTAAAAAACAACTAAACTCGCAAAGAAAATTTCGGAAAATGGCGCCAACCGTAGAATATAAGCAGTTTTTTTTCACCCATTCTGGTAGGCAAAGGGAACTGCCCATACAGCCAAGTCTTTAGTACTTAGTATTTTTTATTATAAGAAATGAAATTGAAATTTAATGATATGAAATGAACTGAAACCTTACCTAACTCATTCAATCAATTAATTAATTCTGATATTGGACAAATTAGTATAGGTAGCTTCTTTTTAAAAACAAATAAACCTATTTGCATGAATCGCAAAAACTTCTATGATTTTTTTTAGTTAAAACTTCATGGTTGTTTTTTTTAATAGAAATAATTTTGACAGTTGGGAAAGAAAACGCACGAGTTCGGGAAAGGCAAAAAAAAAGCACGAGTGTGAAATAGCCCAGATCCCGAACGCTACACGTCCCTGCAATACGCCACTTTTTGAGCAACTGTATTAAAAAAAAAGTCTACAGATAGTACGAGATCCGGCTGCAGAATCAGTGTACCCATCGAGTGTTTGCTGAAAACCAAATTTTTTCACATATTTATGATTAGGAGAATTTATATCTACCAGGTTGCCTATCAAAATGTGGCCGCTAGTATTTTTAATTAAATTATTAATAATTCATAATCCGTAAGAAATTTCACTGACATGTTTTTTCAATGAAATGTCGTCTTTTTTACGGCAATATCTATGAAGACTCTGAAAAATCATGGTTGCCGTTGCGCACCTGGCCGCACCTCTTCGCAGCCAGGTGTACACAGGTATGATTTTGTTACATTTATACACCCACAACGTACATTCATATTTTATAAATCAAATTAAAGCTAATTTTTTTCTGTTCATTATTATATACGGTTGCCTAATTAAATCTGGCCGCAAATAAGGGTTGCTGGCTGTTAAATAAAGTAAACATTAAAAGTAGAGTGAAAGAGAGCTAGCGCGTTACACCACTATTCAGGCGAGGATAGCGATTGCCAGCTGTCGGACAGTTTAAAGCCATTGCGCATGCGTCAGATGCTAGTGTTCTCAACCTCCGATTCAAACAATAGTAGGTACGCCTCAAAATAATAAATACTCCAAAAGAAACGTCTTGGAGTATTTATTATTTTGAGGCGTACCGTAAAATGTAATTTAATTCATCAAACATATCCGTAAATGGATATTGTTGATGAATAAAACCAAGGTTATTTATGTAAAAAAAATTGTGTTGTGCAAGTACTGTATGAAAAAGATTTGATTTTATTTAAGTATTAGATTTATTTTACATATTCATAAATTTAAGTAAATTATAAATTTTTAAAATGTATTTTATATTTCCGTGACTCTTTTTTAAAAATCTGAATCATCGGAGCTCTCAGTCATACTATCATCGCAGCTATCACTTTCATCGCAAATGTCGGTATCGTCGTTATTATCGGAAGGCTTGTTCGTGGAATCACACAGCACACTCTCAACTTGCGCTGGAGTTGAGTCTCCCAGGAACCATGTTGGTTTTAAAAATTCATCTATCAACAGCAATATATTATGTTGTGTATTACGTACTCCAAAATAGCGTGGTTTTTAACTTAGAATAAAAGTCGCAACTGATCCGTTGAGAACACTAGCATCTGACGCATGCGCAATGGCTTTAAACTGTCCGACAGCTGGCAATTGCTATCCTCGTCTGAATAGTAGTGTAACGCGCTAGCTCTCTTTCACTCTTCTTTTAATATTTTCTTTATTTAACAGCCAGCAACCCTTATTTGCGGCCAAATTTAATTAGGCAACCGTATATAATAATGAACAGAAAAAAATTAGCTTTAATTTGATTTATAAAATATGAATGTACGTTGTGGGTGTATAAATGTAACAAAATCATACCTGTGTACACCTGGCTGCGAAGAGGTGCGGCCAGGTGCGCAACGGCAACCATGATTTTTCAGTCTTCATAGATATTGCCGTAAAATAGACGACATTTCATTGAAAAAACATGTCAGTGAAATTTCTTACGGATTATGAATTATTAATAATTTAATTAAAAATACTAGCGGCCACATTTTGATAGGCAACCTGGTGGATATAAATTCTCCTAATCATAAATATGTGTAAAAATTTGGTTTTCAGCAAACACTCGATGGGTACACTGATTCTGCAGCCGGATCTTAGACTAAGATTAGAAGTATATTTTTGAATTATTTTTAGCACTAGTTTTGTTCAACGAATGTTTTCTTTGCAGTAAAATAATTATTTTAATGTAAAAAGTACTTAATTTGGTGAACAGATACATACATAGTTATTAGTTATATTATATTATAACTGTTTGTTTTCAAAATAAAATAATTGATGATAGTAATTGCAACATCTAATTTGATTTCAATGATAAAACTAAACAGAGATCCACTTTTTTATGTCATTGTAAAAAATTAAGCATTTTTATATTTTTCATGAGTTTTGAAAATCGCACATATTATTTGATTAAGCATTGAGATTGCTGAATTTATTTGTTACTCACATTTAGTTGTTTCTGGACAGTATAGTTATACCTACATACGCAATACTGTATGTACATTGGAGAATGTTAGTCATGCAGCATTAATAATACAGGTAGCCGTAAACTTCTTGAGTACGAACCATGGACAACAGAGCCTGCACAGTCATCATCTACTGCTCAAGTTTTCTTGTCAGTGGTTTTGCTCCAGAAGTTTGCCACTGTCCATAATAGCCATGATAAATAAGTATAATTTTATTTTGTTTCAGTCGGGAGCAATCATGTCGGTGCTGTCGTATGTTTGCGTGCAGTACCCAGACACCAGGCTTAGCATAATTTTCTTGCCTATGTATACATTTGCCGCTGGCACGGTAAGTTACCCTTACGATTTAAGTGGTATGTTGCATGTGGTAGGATAATTTGATAAATCTAATTTTAACTTGTAAAGGTATTCATTTGACACTGTGGGTAACCTACAATGCGAAGAAATGGCGCTGCCTTGCAGCTTAAGGCTAGAAAGAATTCGTCGCGGCCATCAGGGCTGCGGTAGCATAATGGTCAGTGCATTCGCCCAGATAGGGGCGGGTGCGGGTTCGAGTCCCGTCTGCTGCCTGGTCCGCGTGGAATTTTTTCTAGTAATATTTTCTTTAGATTTAAACATCGAGCAGTTACATGCTTAAAAAATAAAAATTATAAATCTAATTTTCGCGAGAATCCTAGGGATGTTACAAAACTTGGATAATTAGACAATCCCTATATATTTTTCAATCATAATGAAAAAGATAGGACTTTTTCGGAAACGCGAGTCGCCTCAGTACGATTGGGAAAACAATCGTTTATATATTTTTGAGTTCCTAGGTTTACACTAGGTTAAATTAGTGTTATGCAAAAAAATCCCTTAAGAGCCCTTTCACATTTTTTGCAAAAAATCGTAATTTTTGAGCGCCTCGTTAAGAGCCCTTTTACAAAATTGCGCCGCTCTAGTTTAGGTAAATATGACCGCGAGCGTGTCCGAGTCGCACGAGCGAGACATCGACGCGGCCGAAGTTCAGTATAGCGCGCTTTACCGAATTGATACTTTAATATGCAATTATTGATTATACAATAAATGTAAATATAAAATAAAGTTAATTTGAAGTGCTAAGTTTTTTTACTATTGTGAGAAAATAAATAATATATTTATAGTACCCATTGGTTGCGTTTTGGAAATGACAATAAAGATTAATTATGATTATTACTAATTATTGTAACTTTATATGTATGATTTGCATAACTTGTGTTTGTTCAATTTTTTTTTATTCACTAAGTAATTAAATGAAAAGTTTGTTCACTGTTATCGCTGAATGAAATCCCTTTTTCGAGTAGCAATGAGAAATAATATTTTATTTACTTGTATTTTTAGTATTGACTTTTTTAATGATGATTGATGTTTGGTAATAATCAAATATCTCAGTAAAACTGTACTAAGTGTAGTTTTGTCTTTGCCTTCGTAGTTCATTTAATAAAAAAGTTTTCGCACTCTGTATTTTCAATATATCTGTAAGAGTATTTGATAAAAAAATAAAAAGCATGTTTTTTTGTATTCGTGTAATTTCCATTCATTTAAACAAAACCCATCAAAAGCATTTAACTTTCATAGGAACTCATCTCTTACACACCTAACTCATGAAATTTTTGCTGCGAGTTCTCGTATGGTAATTTCAGGATAAATAATATGAAAACGGAGCTGGGAAAGTTCACACCTTCTCCATCACTAGCTGCTGTAAAGCACATTCAATAAAATCTGCTATTCTCTATACGATTAATTACTCATCAGTGTTATCAAAGATCATCATCATTGATGCTATCATAACATAATAATCAGGAAGCAGTCTGGTAGTATAACGTATCACGTACAATGATTGTCTCTTTTTGAAACTGATGATTGATGTTTTGTTTTTCGTAAATTACAATGAAGGTTATATTATAGTTATCTATAATAATATATTATTCTTTGTGGATTATTACGGTGACAAAGGGCCACAATACATTTATTTTTAATAAAAGTATGACGATAAATAAACAAAATACTTATAATAACAAACATCTGAAAGGAGAATGGTCATTTTACTTTGGGAGTTGGGCTAAGTTTTTTTCATTGCGTCTTATTGGAATAAGTGTACAACAATAGGGAATCAGGTGTATATTGCGTAGGAAAAATATCATTAGAAACTTAAGTAGTGGTTTAAAGAAAATATTAAATTACGTAAGCATTTTAAGGTTATGTCATATTTAGATTCGATTAAATTCGATATTTATACCATGCTTAATTATTACTAGGTATAGTACTTTAAACTGTATTTAATTAGGTTGTGACCTTTTGTCTTCTATTTTGGACTGGGAGTGAAACAAAAATTGAATGCACTTCGTAAAATCTTATCAACGGGCAGCGTATATTTGTAAACTGTTGCGTTGGTGAGCTGTTAGGAATCAAAAATAAATAAGACAAAATATTTTAATAATGATAACCATTTATTGATAACACATTTATCCAAATCGACATTATTAATGTGATATTTTTATTTTATATTTTTGGGGTTATGCCGTATCCAGTGGAACTGTAGTGACTTCGCCTAAAATATCTTTTGTAACTCGCCACCATGTCCTGTTGAGTTTGAAATATCCAGTTAAAGCTCTGCTAAGTTCAATTAACACAGCAATTTATACATTAAGCGTGCTCTAATCCTGGTTTATATATTGCCTTTTTTTAAAAAAGAATTGACTTATATACCTTCTTCAAATACCTCATCTAAAAATGTAGCTGGAGCATGTGTATCGTTAAATCGCCCCCAGCTAAGGTACCAAACTACCGTCATTACGTGTGCGCAACATCCTACTTTGCCTACAATACAACTGCAGCAATAGCCAACTAAACAACTTAGTGAGTTGGCTATATTGGTGTCACGGCTGACTAAAATGTAAACAAAATAAGAGCGTCCACCAACGTGTCTAGACTTAATACGTCCTCTAAGGGGTCATCCATAAATTACGTCACACGAATTTCATGTCTTTTTTGCCCCTCCCCCCGTCCTTGTCACAGCTGGTCACATTTGTAAGACTCCCCCCCTCCCTAGTGTGACGTCACATATTTTGCAAATTTACATTTAGAAATCATTGAATGAAAACAGCGGTTCTGTAATCAGTTTTATTTCCATTTAAATTGTTTTATTATTATTATTATAATCAAATCAAACAATTAACAAAACAAATAAATTACCGAACAAAAAGTGATTGACTATGTTAATTAAAGAAATTAACAAAACATAAAATATTAATAGCATTATAATTAAATTAAAGATACAAACTTAATAATCTTGAGTCCATGGACATTGATCCCACTCCTTTAAATTATTTATAACTGGCATAGCACCACTTTGTTCTCGTTTGGGTTGTTAATTCTTTCGTAAAGTAATAGTTTCAACACTTAGATTTTAATATATTTTGAAATGTGACGTCACGAAATTTAGGACCCCTCCCACCCCTTGTCACACGATGTCACATTTCGTCGACCCCCTCCCTACCCCTTAAAGTGTGACGTAATTTATGGATGGCCCCTAAGCAGATAATTGTTTAAACCTAATACAAGGGGAACATCTTCATCTATTTCTGTATTTATTTCTATGGAATATATCCCAGACGATCAAATATGTTCCCCATAATATGATCGCGCCTGCTTAACTGATAAGTGCCTAATGCAAAGCGTTTTAAATCAATGATGCTTAAACTGGGAAAGGTTTCCAAGTGAGGATGATTGCCATCAATTGCAGAAAACATTGCACGTCTTCTGTTAAGATTTTGAGTTTCTACAAACTCTTTGGATTGGATTACCAAACAATCCCTCCGGGATTATTTTATTTCTGCTGGCCACTTGCTCCACATTTACATGACCAAAGCCCAAATATCTTGACACAAAATCTTCAACTAAACAACTAGCTATATTCATTTTTCTCTCCAAGGTCCTACGAGACATTTGAAAGAGAGAACTTAATCGTTCATTGCTGTCCCCAGTTCTTAACTTGACTATGTAAATACAGAGTGCTAAACAGGGATTTTTGACACTCTGTAATAAGCTTGGTACACATGCCAAGAGTTCATCAAACTGTTCAGCATTCATTCCCAGCCAATAATGGCATAAGAAAGGAGCCATTGCAGAAATATTTTCAAAGTCGAAACAATAGGAAACTGCTCTCTGCATTATATTGAAAATGGCATCAAACTGTACACCAGTAAAATCTTGCAGATTTGATGTTAAATCACTCCAACGCCCATTATTCAAGTGATGTTGACATATTCTACAACATGTGGGAACATAGAATTTATTATGTATTAATAACATTTCTCTTATTACTCTGGGTACTAATAAACATTGTTGTTCCCAGCATCCTGAAAACAGACAACTCGATGAAGTGGCTACAGCACGCTTATATACTGATGACTGTATCTTAGGTATAACAGGTCTTGAAGGCTGAACAGGTAATAGACCAGCGGGAAATGGTGGTGGTACTGGGATCACTGGTACAGACTCTGTTGGTTCTACATCAATTTGTTCAATTGATGACCGATTCGCATCATGTAACTGTTGCCTTTGCACTTCCCTATTAGCTGCTTGCCAACAGGCAGCACAAACTCTTGAAATTCTTGACACCTATAAAAAAAAGATAAGTGAACTTGAATTTAATAAAAACCATCTACAACTATTTTATGCAATAGAAATATATTTCTTATAATAATAATAATAAATCATTTATCTGACAAGACATGGTAAATTATACAGATCTCAAAAATATAACCAACATGACCTGTCGCTTTTATCAACGTGCAAATATTTATAGGTAGTTGTAGTATTATCCAGAACTCAATCTTTAAAAACTATATATATTATTTATATACCATAGTCATGATTGAGTTAGTTATTATATAATCAATTTCATTAATATACTACATGACAATTGTGCAATGTAAAAAAAAATGTCAGTCATGTTTCAGTTAGTATTGAAATCAATTTAAATAAATTATTATTAATATAACATTTCAATCATGCAATGCAATAATAATAATAATGTCACAGTCATGTTTTAATTAGCATTGAAATCAATTTTAATAATTTATTATTTATTAATATCTAATACCATACCTGATGTGCTGGAGTCCATCTAAGAATAATATTTCTTTCTGGACAGTGTAGTGAAACCCTGTACGATCGACTTCTTAATATGGATTTTCCACAACCAAAACAGACTTGTTGATGGCCATATTGTGGTGCAGGTACTTCTTCGGTGTCACTAGCTTGTAGTAGCATAAAGCATTCGTTGCACACTATGCCCCCATTCAATATCTATAACAAGTCAAAAATATTTATATTTATTTGAACATGTGAATGAAATTAAAACATTATCTCACGGTTGCGATTGTATTACGATATATTTTTAGTAATATAAGTAAATAATTACTTACAGAATCAGGTGCGATCCATGAGCTTAAAACATTAAGCATTGAATTGGATAGCATGTCCAAAGAATGTACTGGCTGTCGTCGTGGCACTGATATACAACAGTTAATACAACGTCGTTGCATACTGCCTGCGTTTTCTTGTGTAACACCAGATGCCATTGTAAACAAAAATATTACATTAAACTAAGAGTCCAAATATCTCTGTCAGAATCACTAAAGGTAACTTAACACTAAATCAACGAGTCCAATGCTCTCTTTCCCAAAAAAACAGTTATTAACGGAGGATTACTCAACTCAACATTAAAACTATTCTGCCACAATAGACCACTGAAAACACAAATTCAATTCAAAATTGAAAACTGCACCGGAACAAACAACAAACACGTTGACAACAAGTTGACAGCTACCTACTTCACTTGCCTATGGTATATATTTCGATTTGATTCTATAGGAATCGATTCCTACACAATCGATTAATAAATGTTTTATTTTTCAATGCAAATGCTTAAAATGTTCAAACCATGAGTTAATTTATATATGATTAAGTAATTATATATAACATAACTGATAATTTAAACAAAAATATATTCCCTTTTTTAATCTAAGATGTGAATATGTAGTACACATATAAAAGTTTTTGTATGCGATCTACTGTTTGATGAACAAAATAGTCCGCAGACAAAAAATCCTCTTTTGCGCAGCCCATTAAGTTCCTTTTAGTTTTTAGATGCAATGAAAGAGAGCAATCCCTGGTAGGTACAGTGACATTGTCACAACACAGGTCTTACAAATGATAACTTTATGAATTTAATGTTATTTATCATGATATAACATTGGTAAAAATGCTCGTATCCATCATACAAACATTTGCCTCACCGGAATTCGAAACCAGGCCCTCTGAATAGGCGATTTGGGGAAAATAATCTATCCATCGATCCATACAAAAATCAAACAACTCGCATCGAAGACCTCAAAATAAAAAATGACTACGAATTAATGAATGATCATTATTTCGTATTTACGGTGTTTGGTAAAAATGTTTCAGGCTATTTACAATTGTTCTATGCTTTCAATTATAATAAACGTTTTATTTTTTCTTTTTGAAGTGAAACTTCTTTACGCACTCTTGACTTGGGGAGTAAGCTAGCGAACGTAAGCGTTAAGAAAAGTGTGATCGGGCGAGGCGAACGGGAGTTGAGTGGGGGATGTAAGCATGAGAAAGCAGTGCGCGTGCACATTTTCTTTCTCTCTTCCTCTCATAGCCAAATACGTTCCGTATATCTAAGCACAGTACAAGCCTTTTGTCTGTATCACAGTGTAGGAGCAAGAGCGCGCGCACGCATTTTCTTTCTCTTTTTCTCTTACAGCTAGTAAATGAAAGAAGTTTCACTTCAGTTGTGTAGTCATAAGCACACTCGTTTTTTTATGTTAAGAATATTTAAATAAAGAAATATAATCGATTTTTTTTCCTACGATCGATAGTATCGACCAGGTGATACAACTTTTATCTATGGTTATTGGTTATTTACTCAGTTTAATAGCCATTTATTTATTATTTTAAATATCCGCATAATATTTACATAATAAACACACATATGAAATGATAATTCAGAAGAAGATTTTTGATACATAAATGCGTCAAGCGCAATCTAGGCGGATTTGCCCATTCTCCTTTCCTCGCCCATTGTCAATTCTATAAGTTCTTATTTCAGCTGAGGTGATATTCATATGTTGACATTTGACGGTCCAACACCCAGTCTGGTGTTTCCAAGTGCAAAATGTCCTGGTATCATTACACGTCCTCCATCAACCATATACTCCTTCTGAAAACAGATTATCTAATTGACTACAATACTTTATTTATTTATAATTTTATCTACGCATATAAACAGATATAGGCAATACTGGAAATACATTTCCAATCCAGACACAGATATGGTTCGTAAATCAGCAAGTTACTGTCAATTGAACTTATGGAGCAAAGAAGTCTAAATATAAAACATTAAAAATAAACTTTTTTGCTCTAGAAATGCATCCCATTAGTTTAAGTTCGAAACAAAAAACCAAACTGCTAACATTGTAAACCATGTACCTAGTGTAGTAGTGAAATATCCATTAAGTCAGTATAAAACATATAAAATATTTTAATTAGAGTTTGACGCTTCCCTTTGTTCCTCGGCTTCGATTTCCAATCCAACAGCAATTTTTTCCCATATAATTAAATTTATTATTATAATTTCAATTTCTCTTTTCATTGTCTACTTCCAATAACAACATGAAAAACTTACAGTTTCCGTTGCAATCGAATCCATTGAACTTATGGTCGGTATAGTTTCAATATTTTCGGGGTTGCCATTAAAATTTTGTTTCCATCTAAAATACATAGAACTGTGGATTTCTATTTTAAATATATTATTATGTTGGGCCAATATGTACTTTGGCGGCCCACGAGCTTATACTTGATCGAAATGCAAAATTTTACCGCACTCTAGCTTTTTTTATAGACATAAGGATAGATTGACATACCCATTAAGTCAGTAAGTTAAAATCGTTGGCCATTAGAGTACAGTACCCTTGACTGATTACAATTTTATACCAATGATACTTGAAAAGTCCGGACAAATCACCATTTTTATACAATTAAAACACAATGGTAAGCAGGAATTTTACGCCCCATTGTAAAAGCTTATAACAAAAATATTAGTTGAAGCAACGATAATTAATAACTAGGTAGGTACTTATAATAATAAAATTTAATACGGTTGTGGAAACTTACATACAGTCAACGATTAAACTTTTGCGGTCGTAGTATATTCAGCCAGTTTTACGATGAATGCACTCGTAGCATCGCTCGGAACGCGTGCGGTACAAAGCGACACAGATCCGACCTCCAAAGGCGCTGGCGCCGTACTGAACCGCGTCTAGATTTACACTACTATATATTGCATTTTGCGGGTGATGTTCAGAGTCTTATAAAATAATAATTTATGAAATTATTATAAAATTATATACATATTTCAGTAGTTCAATGATTGTAGATTACTTTTATGACAGTTTTTGATAGTAATTCTTAATTCAATATCAAAATACGAGGTAAACCTGCGTTATTTTTTGGGGAAACTCACGGAGGTCAGATGTTTTTTTAATAATTAATGAGATGGAAAATCAAGATTCTAATACATTATTTTGCAACAAAAACATATTTCTGGTGTCGTAGTAATTATTTTGATCTAATTTATTGAACATTATTGTGAGATTAAGGCGTTTTAAGTTGTGCATATTATCGTTTTTTCCGAAAACTAACTGCGGTAGAACGATCAGTACAAAAAAATGGAAATAGTATTTGAAAATATTCTACATTAATTTTCAATAGGAAGAATAAATCTACTGTTTACTTCTATTGGAAGTAGTCAAAATCTCTTTTAAGGGGGCAAATGAGGCGCGATTTATTGCAAAAAATGTGAAAGGGCTCTTAACCCCCTTAGAAAAATTTTGACTATTTCCAATAAAATTAACCAGTAGATTTATTCTTCCTATTGTAAGTTAATGTAGAATACTTGCAAATACTATTTTCCTTTCTTTGTACTGATCGTTCTACCGCAGCTAGTTTACGGAAAAAACGATAATATGCATTACTTCAAACGCCTGAATCTCTAAATAATGTTCAATAAATTAGATCAAATTAATTATTACGACATCAGAAATATGTTTTCGTTGTAACATAATTTATAAGAATTTTTATTTTCCATCTCATTAATTATCAAAAAAAACATCTAACCTCCGTAAGTTTTCCCAAATAACAATGCAGGTTTACCCGTATTTAGATATTGAATTAAATAAAATTACTATCAAAAACTTTCTTAAAACTAATCTACCATTATTGAACTACTAAAATATTTATACATTTTTATTATTAGTTCATTAATAATTATTTTATAAGACTCGAAACATTACCCGTAAAATGCAATATTACTAGTGCAAATCTACCTACGCGCCAATCAGTACGGCAGCGGCGCAATTTTATAAAAGGGCTCTTAAGATCATTGCCATTGTCTAATTGTCTGAATTTTCGCGAAAAGTCGATTCATCGAATCATCCTATGACACATACATGACATACAGTTATATTTTAGTTTAACAATACTAAAGAAAATTCGACACGGAGAATTAGGGCCGCGGTAGCATAATGCTCACTGCATCTGCCCGGAAAGCGGAGAGTGCGGGTTCGAGTACCGTTTGCTGCCTGGTGCGTGTGGAATTTTGTTTTGTTGAAACATTGTATTCAACCTGATTCCGTTGTCTTATTTAGCAAATTATTTGTAAACTGTAATTTTATTTTTAAATTATTTCCAGGCTATAAAAGCGATTATGGGCGTGGACTTAGCTGGAGTTCTATTGGGATGGAAATTTTTTGACCATGCTGCACATCTTGGTGGTGCTTTATTTGGAATGTAAGTATTTGCTTACAATTTAATGAAACTTTTTAATGTTATTGCTCATTAGTAATAAATAAATGTAATTTAGAAAAAACTGTAATGAGAAAGCAAACATTTTGTCACTTTGTTGCAAGTATACTACTTATAATAATAATAACCATTTATTTCAGGCATACTACCCATATTACATACAGAAATAGAAAAATAAATTTAAAAAAATGATTCAAATTGAATAATTACAATCACAATAATAATAATAAAAATATAAATTTCAAATAATTACAATTCAATAAAAATATAAAATAATTCAAATTTACTTATAAATATGTATATATTTTATAATTAGTTCATAAATAATTATTTTATAAGACTCGAAACATCACCCGTAAAATGCAATATAATATACTAGTGCAAATCTACTTACGCGTCGATCAGTACGGCAGCGGCACAATTTTGTAAAAGGGTTCTTATGTAACCCTTTAGTAACTCGGAAGCGGACTCGCCGTTCCGCTCGCGCTGCGTTGAAGCGTACAGTTCTGTCTCACTCTCTCGATTGAATATTTACATACAGACGTGTGCGTGTGAGAGTTGCTGGTGTAGTTGAGTCGGATCATATTTGATGCTTTTTTTTTATTTTTTTTTTATTTATTTATTTTAGGTCGCTTTTTAACATCTAGGTCATTAGCGACCACATTTTAATAATCTTAAACTAAGTTATACATATTTATCATTTTTAGGAATTTCAGTGTTCGGGTGTATCCATCTTGGTTTAAACAATTTTCCAAAGTATTAGGTACATTACATAATAGTTTTTCATTGTCATATGCAGAGCATTCTATCAAAAGATGGTTAACTGTTAAATCCAATCCGCACTTGCATTTGTTTCTGGGAGCTTTAGTTATCAAATGGATGTGAGTTAAGTTTGTGTGCCCAATACGTAATCTGGTAACTACTACTTCATCTTTTCTACAATTAAACATTTTAGGTGATTTCTCAAAAATAGAATGTCTGACATTGAATAATTTTGTTGTATTTTCAGTACTCCACAAATGATCCCAAATTTTTTTTTATTTTGTATTTTAATGTGTTTTTGTAATTCGGCAGGTGTAACTTTTACTGTATTACAAATATTATTCTCATTGGTTGCACTTTTAGCTTCTGCGTCTGCTTTGTCATTACCAGCAATACTTTGATGACTGGGAATCCATATGATTTTAATTTTATACTTATTATTCAGAAGGTTAGCCATGTTTTATCTAATTTTCATAATAAGAGGGTTTGTGTTATTAGAATTTTGTAAAGCTGTTAAACATGAGAGTCTGTGTAAATGACGTATTCCTTAGAGTTTGTTAAAAGATAGAGAGAAAATCCCATAATCTATACCGATAGGTCCTATCATCAGATACTATTGAAATCCCAGATTTTCCATTCATAACTGATCCATCTGTGTAAAAATCTTGCAATCCTTATACCTACTGTTTATCTCATTGAATAATGTTTTATATATATATTCAGGCGTATCATACTTGAGATTTTTTGATAGTTCTAAGTTAATAGGTAATTCCTGTTTTTCCCACGGACCCCAGGGTGATATTCCCTTTGTGAAAATTGGTGGGAAGTTGAACCGTATTTCTTTTAAATATTTATTAGCTCTGATACGTAAGGGTTGCGATAGTTTTGGTTGAAGTTCATATTCTGTATCTACCGCTGTAGTTTTTTTATAATAATTGTATGTTGGTTTCTCGGGGTAAGATAATGTATTTAAGGCGTATACAATTGAAAGTTGTTTTCTACGTATATCTAATGGCATCTCTCCAGCTTCAGCTAAAATACTTTTTATAGGACTAGTTTTGAAGGCTGATGCAAAGTCTGAGAGCGGTGTTTTGAATACTTTCCGCGCTTTTTTGCTGAATCGTAGATAACTGAACCATAATCAAGTTTTTGTCTTATTAGTGCCCGATAGGTGTTTATCAAACATTTTCTGTCAGATCCCCATGTTGTTGATGATAAAACTTTAATTATATTTAATCTTTTGTAACATTCTGATTTGAGTTGATTTATGTGTGCATTCCAAGTCAATTTACTGTCAAATATGACTCCTAAGATTTTTAATTTATTAACCTCTTTTATTCTATGGTCATTTAAAGTTAATGTGATGTTATTTATTTTCTTTTTCTTTTTTGTTAATATCATGAATTCACTTTTAGTTTTAGAAAATTTGAAGCCGTTTGTTTATTTGTTTATTAGTTTTAATGTAGGGTTAAGTGGTTTACCGCTACATATAATTGTAAGGTCATCAGCGAAAAGAATTCCCTTTACAGGTTTTGGGATATATGATAAAACATCGTTTATAGCTAGTAAAAACAGGATGACACTAAGTACGGAGCCTTGAGGTAGACCGTTTTCTATAGGGGTGCGGTTAGATAATATATCATTAATTCTTACTTTAATATATCTATCTGAAAGAAAATGTTTGACAAATGCAAGTAAATTTCCTTTAATGTTAATGTCATGGAGTAAATTCAAAACCCTATGTTTCCAAACCATTTCGTAGGCTTTTTCTTTGTCTAATGCTACGATTATAGTATACAGATTGTTAGCAAACCCATCAAGTATTTCACTTTCGATATTAATTAAATGGTCTAAAGTAAATTGCCGAAAACCATATTGAAACGGTGATAGATACTTATTCGACTCTAAATACCATCTAATTCTTTTAGTAATTATTTTTTCGAAAATTTTGCATAAATTGCATGTTAGAGATATGGGCCTATAACTTGTTTTTAGACTTGATATTTTTCCTGGTTTTAATATTGCGACCACTAAAGCTTCCCTCCAATAATTTGGAAAAACCTGATTTTTCCATATATAATTAAACAATTGAAGTGAATATTCAAGTCCGCTAATCGGCAAGTGTTTAATAATGATATTTGGTATATTGTCTGGACCTGGACTTGAATTGCCTAATCTAGAAAGAACCAGTAGCAATTCATGCATGTAAATTTCTTTGTTAATTGTATTAGAATTATCATTAAGATCGAAATTAGAATTTGTTTCCTGATTTGTTTTATAATCTATGAATTGTTGATCATAATTTTTTGTGTTAGAATTGTTTGCAAAGGTGTCTGCTAGAAGGTTGGCGATTTCAGTAGCGTCTGACGTATATGTTCCATCTAACTTTTCTAGTACAATATTGTTGAATTTCGTTGTTCGGTGATTAAGTTTTTGGATCTTTTTCCACATATCTCCGGTTTGAGTTTGGTTAGTAATACAAGATACCCAATTTTGCCAATATTGTTTTCTACTTTCCTTAAGAAGTCTTCTAAATAATGCTCGCTTTTTCTTATATTCTATTTTGTAAACCGAATTTGGATCATTTCTTGCATGTTTTCTAAATAATTTTAATGCTTTTTTAGTTTCTTTCATGGCCATTTTACATTCGTCATTCCACCAAGGCAAAATATTTTTTCTTAATATACCGGTTGTTTTGGGAATCGCTTTGTTAGCTGCGTTAAGTATAACTTCCGTGAATTTACTTACAATTACATCAATCGGGTAATCAGACATGGTATTAATTGGTATTAAGTTGGAAAAATAAAGTTCGAATTCTTCTTTAAACATTAATCAGTTAGCTTTATCAAATTTACATTTTTGTGGTAATGTTATATTTTTTGGTAAATCATTTGAAAAGTTTGATACTATTGATATGGGGAAATGGTCACTATCATATAAATCATCTAAGACATTCCATTCAAAATATGCTGTTATATTTTGTGAAGTCAAAGTTAGATCTATAATACTTGTACGCCCGGTATTGCTATCAAAATGTGTGGGTTGGCCATTGTTCAATAGCATAATATTATTATTTTCATCGAGCCATTCAGCTATGATATTACCCCTAGTATCATATTTTTCTGAACCCCAATAGAAATGGTGGCTGTTAAAGTCACCTAAAATGATAAACGGTGTTGGAAGTTGATTGATTAAATTTTTTAGTTCATTTATATTGAGTGGATTACTATTAGGAAGGTAAATATTGCAAATGGTAATGGCTAAGGGATATTTTATTTTAATCACTACTGCTTTCAGATTAGTATTTACTTGTATTTGTTCGGGTATTGTATGTGATTTAATAAATGTAGCTACTCCACCACTAGCTCTATTACTATGTAATCTATTTTTATAAAATTGTTCATAACCTACCATATTAGCACAATAGTTAGACGCAAAATTAGTTTCCTGTAAACAGATGCAAGTGGGACATAATCTGTTTGTTAGAAGTTTTATATTTTCTAGTCTCTTAAAGTAACCATTTACATTCCATTGCAATATATCCATGTGTATATAATATTAAATAACAAATATGATTTTTTTTTTATAATAACTTTAACAAAAAGGAACACTTATTTATCATTATCTGATGAAATGATCGAATCAGGGTTTAACATTTCGTGTAATTTTCTAGATAAGCGTGAACATCTATTTTTTAAGCTTTTGTTCATTTTACTATGTAATATATTACACATTTTAATGAGGTCTCTTACATTGTCCGTATATGAATATACTACTTCTTTTATATTTTGTTTTCCCCGTGTGTTATCTAATAAACTAATAAATTGGTCTAAGCTAATAGGAAATGTAGTCTCGTTACTTAATTCTGTCATGCTTTCTTCTATATTTTTCCAAATTTCTTCCTCTGTCCTAGTGTCTGTCTTCTTTATTTTTTTCTTTATCTTAGTGTTGGTTTCTTCATCATCTTGTGAAATATTACTGCTGGTTTCATCAGTTTCATTATTAATTGTATCATCTATTTTTTGTGGTTTTATAATTTCAACTAATATATCAACATATTATATGGACTGAAAAACACTATACTCTGTCTTCGCGCTTTTGCATTGTGAAGTCGGGTAAAAAGACTGTTATCAAATTTAGTTATAAGTTTAGAAAATCGTTCTTGAAGAATGTTATGTATAAAATATTATTAATATCTTTTATTATGATTTTTAATCAATAAATTTGTGATTGTTAATCAGATATGCTAACAAATTGCTAATAAACTGCAATATATCTTATGCTTATTAACAATATGCTAAAATTAGGCAATTTGAGAATGTGGTGTTGCTGGAATGGCGTAAAACAATAACAATTTTATGCTAAAGTAATGGTTTTGTTGGCAGCGCATGGTGCTATTGGGGCGGCTCACACATATGGGCGAACCGGGACAAATTCGTGCAGTATTACCACGCCCTGAGGAAAAGTGACACTGGAAGATAGGGAACACTTCAAGAACACTCTAAATATTATTTTATGTGGAAATCAGCAGAATTAATAAAACATCCCAAAAACATTGACAGATTGAAAAGCAAATTCGAAACTATATAAAAACCTATGTAGTCAAAATTAGTCACGACTTTACAACTTTAGTAGGAGAGTCGGAAGATATTGTATTTAATAATGTTATGAATTAATAAAAGTTATTGATTTATAATAATATTTTTTTTATAACAAAATTTTATACAAAAAAATATACAAACTTGATTCTATAAATACACTGTGTTTTAAATGGCCCGTGTCGAGTTTTCTCTGAAAACCAGTTTTAGCTCTTGAGTATCTTGGCATGGAAATCGAAATGTTCTCCAATGAATGTGGAAATATAGTAGTATGAATGGTCGTAATCTTCGCGCAAATTAAGAATGACTGGTACACCAACAGAGCGACAGGCTTCCACTAGGTTTTCAGGCAATAGCTGCTTTGCAGTGTAGAATGTGTCACCAGCCCCCTGAAAGAAAAGTTAAAATTATTTATAGAGAACAATTAGTTATTTCTGCTCTCATTATATTAAATTGTGAAAAATGGGGTATGGATACACTGTCAGTTCATCTATTTGCGCCAAAACATATTTTGCACCTGCTTTTGTCCATGGACATATTCTATAAATTTCATAGTACATCTATGCTTAACAGTTGGCTAGGAATGGGCAGATGAATATTTTTTTGTCCTCTGAAGGAAAGGTTAAATTAATAGAAAATGTAATTTATTTCAGCCCCGGTCCCAGTCAATTATATTTGGTTATGTTGTCGTAGTAAGTACGGACCAAGGAAGTTGTATAATAACTGGACTGCTTACGCGACCCTCAAAATCGTTCCAAGAGCATAGCTGAAGTGGGGGGATCTGTCTCGTTCTAGTAGTGTGCACAAACAGTTACTTCATTGATGAGACAATTATTTTTCTTTGAGTGAAGGAACCTTGTGATTTTCAATTCTATTTAACATTAGCTTGAAAGTTCGAAAAATTATAAAAATCTTATTATCTTGAAAATCCATTTATGGAATTCTTTATTACTAAACATTGAATACGATTTATGGATCTGAAATATTTAATTATAATTCGTCAAACGATCTGTTCTTTTGTTGTTTTTTAGGGTTCCATACCCAAAGGGTAAAAATGGACGTTAACAGTAATGGTCCGGTGACGGTGGTTGTGGACAAACGACCTTAGAAAACGTGATATAATGTAAATTGTGGTGGTCATGCTACAGGGACTGGATACTGTAACAATGATACAAAAATAATCCAGTAATTACCTGATCTAACAGTAAAGTTAGAGGCGGTCCATTATACTTCTTGACTAGTTCTGTAGCATCCCATGATGCCCATTCACTCTTGTTATCTCCAAGATAACCTGTAAATGCTTTTTCACCCCAAGGGCATTTACTGGGATTACATATAGGGGCAAAGGCGCTAACTGTCTTATATAAGCCAGGATTTCTCAGAGTAGAAACAAGGGCACCATGTCCTCCCATACTGTAAACATATGAAAATATAATATACCTATAAATAATATCAAAATTACATCAACCAATTTCTTAATTATAATTTAAAAATAATTAAACATAAACATTACTTGATCAAGTAACCTATTAAATTTTTTTGCTGGATGCAATACAAACAACATCAGCCCCGCGGTAATCTGCCCCCCCCCCCCTGTAATCCGACACGCCTATCACTGTTGATTGTACATAAAAATCAATTAAAATAGATTTTTTAATTTGACAGATAACAAGGTAATAAGAATATTCAAAAGCTTCCCGACTATCCCGACTATTCGGCTGCCCAAAACCGAAACACAGTGTGCCACATTTGGAAAATTTTAAAGCTAAAGGTGCCGATTCTGGCATGATTCTCTAAACTTAAAACTAAATTTAACATCAGTCTCTCTTATAATATTTATTATTTTTAAAGCATGTAACTGCTTCATGTTTAAATCTAAAGAAAATATAACTAGAAAAAATTCCACGCGGACCAGGCAACAGACGGGACTCGAACCCGCCCCTACCTGGGCGAATGCACTGACCATTATGCTACCGCAGCCCTGATGGCCGCGTCGAATTCTTTCTAGCCTTAAGCTGCAAGGCAGGGCCATTTCTACGCATTCGCCCTCCGTGAGGACCGCGGAAGCATAATTGGTCAGTGCATTCGCCCGGATTGCGAAGGGTGCTGGTTCGAGTCCCGTCTGCTGCCTGGTCCGCGTGGATTTTTTTCTAGTTATATTTTCTTTAGATGTAAACATCAAGCAGTTACATGCTATAAAATAATAAAAATTATAACTATAATTGCACCGTGAGGGCCGCGGTAGCATAATTGGTCAGTGCATTCGCCCGGATTGCGAAGGGTGCGGGTTCGAATCCCGTCTGCTGCCTGGTACGCTTAACCTATAATGCGGAGATGGCGCTGCCTTGCAGCTTAAGAATGGCTAGAAGAATTTCGACGCAGTCCGTGAGGGCCGCGATAGCATAATCAGTCTCTTTTTTATTCTGTATAGAAAATGACAAGGATACGCTGTTGTCACAATTTAGGTTTAGGTTTAGAGAATCATGCCAGAATGGACACCTTTAGCATATTTAAACATTGTGTAATAAAGTGCTACACATCAATCAAAGCTTAATTTATTGCCTGTTTTTTTTAGTATTTTTATTTTTTTACATATCTCATTTAACACGCTTTAGCGTCAAAAAGAATACAAAATATCAATTTTTGACCTAGTATGGAAAAAATCCTTGTTCTTTCATAGTACCAGACTGAAAACTAACACAAAACACAGTATCTCTTATTCTCGACGTTACTAGGTTTTGGATTTTTTTTCTTAATAAATTATCATTCAACTTAATTAATATTGTATTGGAAACATCTTCTGGTACTAGACCCTCCATTTATCGAATTGAACGAATAAGTATATACGAAAAAAAAGAAACAAGTTTCATTTAAATTAAATTATATAAAACTAATGGGGTCCTCTACTTCGTCCCCCTTCTGAGGTTATTTATAGGATAAAATGTTCTTTCCCGTGTCTCAAACTATTTCTATACCAAATTTCAGCTGTTTTGTAGAATGCAGTAGTGCCGGTTAGAAACAAAAACACACCGTAATCACGACAAATTACACGGCAAACTTCTTACCGCGGGTGTCCGTTCGCATTTCTTTTGATTAAGTGAGTGTTATTAAGTATCGGTCGCACAATTTCGGCGGTTCTTCTTCTTCTTGTTGCTATGGGCGTTTCTGCAACTCGACGTCCTTATGGCGCCTGTTTTGCGTGAGGAGGGTGTATGGCCGGAGTCACTCCAGCTAGCCCAGCTCCGCCAGGAACGCCCCCAGGGCCTTCACATTAGTGACTGCCTCTTGAAGGTTTTCTGGTGAGCCGAGGTATTTCGCCCGGTATTCGGCCACTCCGTTGTATTCCAGCAGAACGTGAGTAGCTGTTTCCTCTGCCTCCATGCATCCTCTGCATAGGGGGCTGTCCGTGACACCTAAGTTGAAAAGATGTCTGTTAAAATGTGCATGTCCAGTGATAGCACCTGTTACCATTCGCAATGTAGGTTTGCTTAGCTGTAGGAGAGTTTTGGAGAAGGCAGCGTTCACCCGTGGCAAAGCGAGCTTGGTCTGCCTGCACATCTCCAGGTCGAGCCAGTGTTGCTGGTGTAGTGCGGCTGTGTGCTCGCGGATTTTATTGACGAGACAGCTTACCGGTATTGGAACGATTGATTCTGGACCTGTTGGGGTCGTATCGGATCCCTTCCGGGCCAGCTCATCCGCAGCGTCGTTTCCGCGTGATCCACTGTGTCCCTTGATCAATTGGATGGTAATAGAATTGCTTGACCCTACCTTGTTTAAGGTTTGGTGGCATTCTTGTAGGAGGCTCGATTTGACTAAACAGGCATCTAGAGCTTGTAGGACTAATATGCTGTCGGACAGTATTCGTATTTCCTGACCTGTTACCTTTCTTGAAAGGATCGCTGTTGCCGCCAGTGTGATGCCCATACATTCAGCTTGGAAAACTGTGTTGTACGGGCTTAAGGGGAAAGCGACGTGTATATTGAGGTCCTCAGAGAAAACACCCGCGCCCGTGACCGATGAGGTATTTCGGCGGTTAAACCAAACCCAAAACTTCACAGGAACAAAAAAAAACCTAGTAAAACCACGAAACACCCATGTCTCATACTGTGTTTGATATAGTTTCAGTGACATACTGTGTTTTGATGTGGTTTTTACTGTTATTTTGTATCTTTTAAAAAAAGTTTAAATCTAGTAAAGATTTTAACTTTTTAAAATAATTCAGGCTATAGGCAACGTAGCGCTACGAGGACCAGGACCATTTTTAGAGCGTAACAAAGGTGAATCATGTCAGCCATAAAAAAAATTTTTTTTTGAGTCGGGCGTTACTATGTTTTGGTTTTGGGCAGCCGTATTAGAGGATGATCTTTGGCAGAACTCTTTGATACGACTAATCAAAACCATTTATTCAGTTTAGGTTGTTACAAGCACTCATGAAGCCTGGAACTACGCCATTCGTTCGTAAATCTACGGTAGGAGACGTTATACTGAGAAGAACCGGCAAGAAACTTAGCAAGGGCTGTCATCTCGGCTGGCAGCACCCGTTCACTAGCATGACGCATGAACCAGCCATCGCTTCGCTCAATCATATTTTCTACTCATAATTTGGTTATCCGACATAACTCTGCAAAACGTTTGTCGGATTAATGTGGGTCTACTGTATTCCATTCCATCTGGTAATCAGTGTAAGTAGAGTAGAGATAAGACGTGCCGAAATATATATTTAAACTTTTACAAAGTAAACACAAATGTAGGCAATAACCCTACCTACCATCTCTAAAAGTTAGAATGGGCTTAAGCTATAAATTTATAGTTTAAAAAACAACTTGAAAATGATTAAAATCTGTTTTATTGCTATCCTGTAAAATTTGTGGGAAGTCCCTTACTGTGTTTTGATTTGAGGCAGCCAATATGTTGCTTCAGTCATCCATTATGCTTAACAAACCCCATGCCCTACCTCGCAGAGACTTAGATCTACCCCCAATAATAAACACAACTAAAAAAAATTTTATTTTATTGTGGTCCTCTGAAAAGTGCAGGTCACTTTACAAGAAAATTCATTTCACCCTACCTTTTAAAACAGTGTTAACTAGTAATATTGATCTTAAATATTACCTATGACCCATAATTCCAATTCTATCAGGATCCACAACAGGAAATGCAGACAGAATTAATTCATACAACTCCTTGTTTACATAACTGCCCATTCTATAATAAGTAGACCAAGGTTCCTTTGTAGCATCCAAGTAGAAGCCAGCACCAACTCCAAAATCCCAAGAATCATCATCACCTTGGATTTTTATGCCTCTAGGAGATGTGTCTGGACCCACAACTATTATACCATGCTCTGCTGCATACCTGGAAAGTTAATTATTTTGATAAAATAATTAAATAACATTCAGGCCCCACTACACTTCAAACTGTCAGCTCATGGGTTTTCTCCTTATAAAATTATGTTACATTCCAAAGATTTTGTTTTAGCCTTTAAACTCTTGTGTATGAATTGCAAATTATTGTAACCTTATAAACTGCCACACTCAGCAGACATCAAATAAATAAATGAAACACAAATAAACGGCATAAGCATCTTTTTATAACTTTTTTGACACATAAACCGTTTAAGTGTATTTAATTCAATGAGTGGTGTGTGTGAAAACTTATGAAAAAAATACATCAATTATATATTTTTAAGGTTAAAAATATATGGATAGAATAAGCTAACACTTCACTTAAACAAGGTTTAAGTATGGCTGGCTGATTAGCTTAGACTTACTGTTATTCATAGTACATAATTTTAATTTAATATCTGCATTTTTAATTTTTTTAGGACAACATACCTTTGAAATCCTGATTTTGTAATGAAATTCTGTTCAGAACATGTCAGACCAGAAAGAAAAAAAATAACTGGTAATTTTACATCACCCTCAGCCTGCGGTGGCATGTAAATAGAGAAATTCATTTTACATTTGGACGTAGTTACGCGAAAACGTTCCAACCCACAAGTCACTCGAAAATGAGTTACCATAACCAGGGTACTATTTTTGCCATATTACATCATGTGCACACAAAGATGCTAGTATTTTTAAGTTAGTTTCATCAATAAAGTTTAACCCAAATGTTCCAACCCACCATTATGCCAAGGACGTGTACTCAAAATAAAGTAAAAACATTACATGCATACTGAAACATATTGTTAAAAACTCTTAATAGAATAACATATCGTTATAATGTTCCACTTGTCTTGGAACATTATACTAAATTCATAAAACGCACATTTAATGGTTTCTTAAATGATCCATGTGGGTTGGAACGTTTTTGCAAAATCTTTATACATTTTTTATTTCTGCAAAAATGTTCCATGTAATTTGAAACCTTTTAGATTAATCCATACTGTTTTTTTAAGCTGCGAACACTGTTCTAAATAAATTGAAACCTATTATTATAATATATTATTTTAAAATTTTTAGCTATAAACAATCCACATATACTTGATCCATTTTTGGTATTAAATATGTTCTAGAGAAAAAGATATTTTTTACCAAAATAAATAACTATGGTATATTTGGACGTAGTAACGCGAAAATGTTCCAACCCACAGCAACCCCAATTTGCAATTTACACACTTTTTCCCTGTAATTATTTCAGGCAAATACTATTGGTTTAACTATGGAATGCCAAACTGATTATTGAATGATATGCATATTTTTTGTAAATACATAATACAAGGGGCATATAAATAGGTAAAACGAGTTTGAAATGTTTTTGCTAAATTAATTTTGTATGAACCTTGTTAAATAGCAATTATGCATAAACTTTCCAAAACGAATTTAAGTGTATTATTTTATAAAAATAAACCAAAAAGAAATATGTAAAATAATAAATAACAATGAGGAACATACAAAAACAACAAAAAAATATATTTGAAAATGTATTACAAAAAAATAGAACGTGATCTTTTGAGCTTAGAACCTATGCCAAAAATTTGTTGATATGGATCCAAAAGTTATCAAAAACTTATATTATAAACATTCAATTTTCATCATCGTATTCTATGATCTCGAAGTCCGGAACTCCACCAAACCCATCAACATCATCAGTGCTTCTTCAGAACTTTGAAGCGTTCTATAAAATTGAAGGCAATCCTCGGGTATGTAGTGGTACATGGATTGTAAGTCCACTAATTTCGCTGGAGCAATCGGTTTGTCGTTAGGCCACAATAAGCAAAAATCAGATTCTTTTATGTATTGCAGTTCTCGTTTTATTCTTTTATCAATTTTCAACTCATTGAAATCGTCTTCCATCGTAGACCGCATAAAAATAGAAAACATTTTATCTTTATCCAACTTAATTTCTTTTGTATGTAGCCAACTAACTTTAGATGAGTCTGTAAACTTCTTCCTATTGATAATCTTCTTTTCCAGTTTAGTTGTACTAAAAAAATCAGTCTTTGTCATTTTGTAAACTTGAAGAGGTTTAACTTTTTTACTTAGTTCTACAATAGTGGTATCCATAGTGCATTTAATGATACTGGGCATTCTTATGTATTGGTAGAAGGAGAGGTAGAAGAGGTGCACAGGAAGTGGATTGCCTTCAATTTTATAGAACGCTTCAAAGTTCTGAAGAAGCACTGATGATGTTGATGGGTTTGGTGGAGTTCCGGACTTCGAGATCATAGAATACGATGATGAAAATTGAATGTTTATAATATAAGTTTTTGATAACTTTTGGAACCATATCAGCAAATTGGCATAGGTTCTAAGCTCAAAAGATCACGTTCTATTTTTTTTGTAATACATTTTCAATTTTTTTTTGTTGTTTTTGTATGTTCTTCATTGTTATTTATTATTTTACATATTTATTTTAGATATATTTATAAAATAATACACTTAAATTCGTTCTGGAACGTTTATGCATAATTGCTATTTAACAAGGTTCATACAAAATTAAATTTAGCGAAAACGTTTCAAACTCGTTTTACCTATTTATATGCCCCTTGTATTATGTATTTACAAAAAATATGCATATCATTCAATAACCAGTTTGGCATTCCACAGTAACACCAATAGTATTTGCCTGAAATAATTACAGGGAAAAAGTGTACCGCTAAAACACAAAATTGCGTTTATCTCAAAATGGGGTCGCTGTGGGTTGGAACGTTTTCGCGTAACTACGTCCATTTCAGCTCTGATGATTCATGTGAGAATACCTTTTGGTAGCCTCCAAATATTTTATTAGATGAAATGAGTTGTAGTTTCTCCATTGCTCACTACTGCAACAATACATTATTATTATAGTAAGTGTTCAAATATTATTTTGGACATCACCATGTCCAAAATAATAGTTGTTAACTTATTTCACTAAATAACACTGGCCAAAATGAATATACAGTCAAGATAAAGCGAGTGCTATGATGTAATATATTGTATACTGATAAATACCAGTAAATGATAAGTAGGTGCTCAATTAATTTGATGATTATTTTCAGCCAGCAATATTTCTTCTGGTCAGTGTTTCCACTTTAATGATTTCCTTTCCCCACGCCTTAATTCAGATTTCCCCTTCTTAGGACACTTTTCCCCTCAAAAATTATTCTGCTGTAGTTTTTAGATTTGGCACTAGTGTAGTAACTAAAGAAAAAAAAAGGTCTTAATCTATCTTATTCTATAAGAGATAAATAAAATATATAAAATCTGCACGTGTTACCACAATTTCTTTTATACGGCAACACTCTAGTCCACGGTATCGTTCCATAAAAAATTTGTTCCGTGCCGCATTATTTTAGGCTAGGCTTTACCCATAATTTCCCGCAATTTCCCCTTTTCTTCCCCTCTGGACCCTAATTTCCCCTTAAAAGGGGAATTTCCCCTCATTGTGGAAACACTGCTTCTGGTTATCTAGTCCATAGAGTACATTATATACTAGTAATAGAGATATCAGTTAACCTGAGCATACAGCGCCATCTAGCGATTCATGACATAATCACAAGTCATGTACTACTGAACCGGTACCAGCAGCTTTAGATGCGATTATTAATATGAAAAAAGGAAAAAAAACTTACTGTGTTAAAGCTACATTATTAGATAATTTACCTACTATTCGTTTACACAGTTTTTTTTTTGATAATTGTCTAAAAATGTAGCTTTAACACAGTCCGTTAGAATAAATAAAGAAGTTTTATAAATCAATTATTTTTCTTTATATTATTAAATATTTGCATGACATTCTTTTAATATCATCTTTAAAATTTGTACAATTACGCAGCTTTATGGTGCCGTTTAATAATTTATTTACCTCACCACACCAGTTATATATAAAAAATCTACAAGTCGGATCTGTCATAAAAGTTTCATTGCTTTCTTTAGCCGTGTTGTGTATTTGAGATTCTTTTCAGTTAGCTTCTTCACCACTTTTTTTAAGTTAGTTACACTTTGATCCATTGCAGATGCTAAAAAAAGCATTTTAATAAAATTAGTTTCATTGTGAGGTGAAAAGTCTTAATTTTTTTTAACTACTTATTATTAGTATAAGAAAACTAAGTGGAAGGTTCATTTCATTATGTAATGTCTACTTATTAACTAAAACATGACTAAAGCCCATAGAGGTAAGTTTAAGAAAAAGCTAACAAAAGAATAAAGATGATTAGGATAGGTGCTCTCTAAAATATAGATGACTTAATTCTGATATATTTTTTTAAAGTTAAGTTAATAAAGTTATCAAATAATTATAGACAAAAATACTTATATAAAAATAAAAATATTAATTACCGGTAAGCTTATTTTTACTTAGTATCTTCGATTTCTTTACAGCGTTTTGTTGTAATTCTAACTTTTCAGTCAAAACACCACCTGCAAAAAAATTTTATATCAAAACAAAAGAGAATAAGGGAAAGGTTTTACTGATTTGTATATCTGAAATTTGATGCTTCCATTCAAACATTCAAAAAGAATTTTGCCCCCACCAGGATTCGAACCCAGAACTTTACAGTAGGTATTGACAACCAGTGCACATTCCACTCTACCAGAATGTCAGTAATATAAAAAATGATTTGTAAATAAATAAATAAATATTTACTAGTGGATGTAGAAGGCATTGAAAGCTGAGAATGTTCAATTTCTTGGTCAATATTCATTCTATTGGTGATATCCGTTAAAACACTCCTTGGTGCACCAAATCCTGATAATAAAAAAAATATTTAGCAATTTATATAAAAATCACATTCAACTCAATGATTTTTATTAAGAGACCATTACATACACTCTTTACTCGATGTTTTAAAAGACTTTGAAATCAGCAATTTACCTGGCAAATGTAAAGTTGGGACAGCATGTGGAGAAAGTGTTCTAGTCCAAGTAAGAAACTTGGTCTTAAAATGTTTTTGACAAACTATTTCTTGCTTGAAAAGATAATTATTGTCCATAGCTAATATCTCTCCTCCGAGAGCGGAAGCCAAGTTCGGAATCGATCGGGGTGAATGTCAGGGTTAGGAAACGAATACATTGGTATTTTATCTGCGCCTGAAAAATTTGGTCAAATAGTTAAATCAAGAAAGGATTGTTTATAGAGGTTCAATTATATGTAACTGATTGGTAATACGTACATGTTACGTTGCAATTAGGCACACAACATCTTCTCTAAGATGCCATTTTCGAGAACAACGAAATCCAAATAGTGAAGCCAATCAATAACCGATATGAAGGGCATGGGTCAAAACGTAAAAGCAGGAGAATCGGAGTCCGGAAAAATAGCTGAAATCGTCGGAAAATCCACCAAAAATCACAAGAAAACATTAAATTCACGAAGCGTAAACAGAACAGGTTTTTTTGTTACAGTTGTTTTTTTAGATTCTTTACCCATTCTGGGTAGGCAAAGGGTACTGTGCCCATACAGCCAATTCTTTAGTTTATTATTGCAAAATAAAATCTGTTGTAAATAATATATGCTGATAAGCTGTATTTCTTCTTTCTTGATTTTTGTTACAGTCACTGACAGCCACAGGTATAATTTTGTGTTACTGTTTAAAAATATATGAAGTTGGAGGAATATCTAATAATACGTAAAAAAGATCTGAATAACGCCATCTTGTGAAATATTACATATCTAAAATTCGTTCTG